TCCGTGCCAGGGGCGGTCTCCGGTGGGCGGGGCCGCTCGCATCAGGGGCGTGGTCTGTCTGGTGGGCGGGGCGGTCTGCGCCAGGGGCGGGGCCTCGGCTGGGCGGGGCCGCGCAGGTGAGGGGCTCCTGCAGCCTGCTTGCCCCTAGGACGCAGCCACGTGGTGCAGCGGGTTCTGAGCACCGTGCAGTTCCTTTGGGTGCTGGGCCAGGCGCTGCTGGACGGGCTCACGCGCTGGCTGCTGGCCTTCACCCGCCACCACCGCGCCATGAGCGACGTGCTGCGCGCGGAGCGCTACGCGCTGGCCCAGCGGCTGCAGCAGGTGAGCGCGCGGGCCGGCTGCTGGGTGGGGGCGGTCACAGCGGGGCGGGACTGCCCTCAGCACCCCGCGTGCCTGCAGGGCGAGGACGTGCACTGGGACGTGCTGGACGGGCTGTATGGGAGCGCGGCCGACACTCCACCGCCCGGGCGCTCCGAAGCCCCCGAGGCGCCCAGCACCACGTCCAGGTGAGTGTGCCGCCCTTGGCCCTTCGGCCGGTGGCGGCGCCGGGCAGCACCGTGACCGTCCTCTCCGCAGTGGGCTGGGGGCCGAGGAGCCGCTGAGCAGCCTGACTGACGTCACGGGCAGCCCCCTGAGCTCCAGCGCCAACACCCGCAGCAGCAGCGAAGAGGTGGTGCCCGGCCCCCGGGCCCGCACACGCACGGCCAGCGAGCTGCTCCTGGACAGGTTTGCGGAGATGGCCACTGCAGGGGGAGCAGCCTGGGGCCCTGAGGGGCGGGGGCGGGCAGGGTGGGCAGGGCAGCCCGGGGCAGCCCGCTCTGTGACTGCCCCTGCAGGCGCCTGCACTTCCCCGAGCTGGACGAGGCCGAGCGGTTCTCAGAGGGGCAGGGCCGGGCGCTGCGGCTGCTGAGTGCCCTCTACCAGTGTGTGGCCGCCCACTCGGAGCTGCTCTGCTACTTCATCATCATCCTCAACCACATGGTCACTGCCTCGGCTGTGTCCCTGCTCCTGCCCGTGCTCATCTTCCTGTGGGCCATGCTGTCCATCCCGCGGCCCAGCAAGCGCTTCTGGATGACGGCCATTGTCTTCACCGAGGTGGGCTGGCGGGTGCCCCCGGGGGCTGGGGCCCTGCCACTGCAGCTGGGTCAGGTTGACCGCTGTCCCCGCAGGTCACTGTGGTCACCAAGTACCTGTTCCAGTTCGGCTTCTTCCCCTGGAACAGCCACACGGTGCTGCGGCGGTACGAGAACAAGCCGTATTTCCCGCCTCGCATCCTGGGGCTGGAGAAGACGGACAGCTACATCAAGTACGACCTGGTGCAGCTCATGGCGCTGTTCTTCCACCGCTCCCAACTGCTGGTGAGGCGCGGGCTGCCGGGCGGGCCCCCCGGCACCAGGCCCCCCCTCACTGCCCTGTCCTCGCAGTGCTACGGGCTCTGGGACTACGAGGATCCACTTGCCAAGGAAGGAGACGGGGGCAGCGGACGGAAGGAGGCTCAGCCTGAGTTGGGGGCCCTGCTGGGGTCCCAGCAGGAGCCCGAAGATGCCGAGGGCCGCATCGAGGGCAGCACCGAGGAAGCGGCCTGGGACGGACCCGCGGGCGAGCCCCCCGGCCAGGACGCGAAGCACCTGCGCTTCAGGAAGCAGGCGGGGGGCCCAAAGTCCCCGATGCCTGCTGTCACTGGTACAGAGACTCCTCAGCCACTGAGTCCCGGGGGCTGCTGGCCTTGCTAGATGTCCAGGGCAGGGCCCGGAGTGGGTGGGGACCGGTGGGCTCCCGCCTGCTGGAGTCCCAGTGGACACTCTCTCCCAGGTATGGAGGGCGAGGAGGAGGAGGAGGAGGAGGAGGAGGAGGAGGAGGAAGCTGAGGTTGCGGAGACAGGGAAGAGACGGCGCCCCCAGGACCGAGTGCGGGCAGCCGGGGTCTGGCTGAAGCACTGCTGCCTGTCCCTGTGAGTCCCACCAGGTCCCGCCGCGAGGGGCCGGGAGGGCAGTGGGATGCCCGTGCTGACCAGCCGCCTGCTGACGCCCGACTGACCTGCCGCCCCCACAGGGCTCAGGGCATCTACCTGCCTCTGCGGCGGTTCTTCCAGGACGTCCTGCACACCAAGTACCGCGCTGCCACAGACGTGTACGCGCTCATGTTCCTGGCTGACGTGGTGGACTTCATCATCATCATCTTTGGCTTCTGGGCCTTCGGGGTGAGTGGAGTGGGGGTGGGAGGGCCGGGCCCGGCGCCTGGTGCCCGGCAGCCCCCTGAGCCTGCTCTCGCCCGCAGAAACACTCGGCGGCCACAGACATCACCTCGTCACTGTCGGACGACCAGGTGCCCGAGGCCTTCCTGGTCATGCTGCTCATCCAGTTCGGGACGATGGTGGTGGACCGGGCCCTGTACCTGCGCAAGACGGTGCTGGGCAAGCTGGCCTTCCAGGTGGTCCTGGTGCTGGCCATCCACCTGTGGATGTTCTTCATCCTGCCCGCCGTCACCGAGAGGTGGGCTGCGCAGGCGCCGGGGGGCAGGGCACCAGCCGCCCAGCCACCCTGACCGGCCCTCTGCCTCCGCCCGCAGGATGTTCAGCCAGAACGCGGTCGCCCAGCTCTGGTACTTCGTCAAGTGCATCTACTTTGCCCTGTCGGCCTACCAGATCCGCTGCGGGTACCCCACCCGCATCCTCGGCAACTTCCTCACCAAGAAGTACAACCACCTGAACCTCTTCCTCTTTCAGGGGTGAGTGGGGCCCCCTGGGCGCGGAGCTGGCCAGTGGAGCTTGGGGCCCTGATGGTGCCGGCCCACAGGTTCCGGCTGGTGCCCTTCCTGGTGGAACTGCGGGCTGTCATGGACTGGGTGTGGACGGACACCACCCTGTCCCTGCCCAACTGGATGTGTGTGGAGGACATCTACGCCAACATCTTCATCATCAAGTGCAGCCGGGAGACCGAGAAGGTGGGCATCAGTGCCAACCGCACGGCTAGCACAGGACACGCTGCCGCCACCGTGGCATCGGCTCGTCACCTGGCCAGTCTTTCAGGGTCGCGTTCTCAACACACTGGACGCTGGCCCCTGTCTCGGGCTCATTTCTGCATGTTGCGCGTGGCCTGGGGTGGCAAGCATTGCTCGTGCCTCTCACGAGTTGGGGCTTTGAGCTTTGTTGGGGGGCCACTCCCTGCCCTGCTCAGGGACCACTGCTGGTGGGCTCGGGGGCCCTGTGTGGTCTTCAGCGGGGTGTGAGCCAGGTGGGCTGTGCGCCAGTAACCTCCCTGAACACGACCACTGGCATATAATCGAGCTTTCTCCACGCCTGCCGGAGCTCAGTGCTGTCCCGTGTGCTGGGCAGCGGAGCCACACACGGATGCCCTGACGGTGATGGGCAGCGCGGTCTAGCCCCGCTTAAGGGGCCGAGCGCTGAGCTCAGACCTCGGGGAGCAGCCGGGCAGGGTTGACCCCGTGTGCCCTGCAGAAATACCCGCAGCCCAAAGGGCAGAAAAAGAAGAAGATCGTCAAGTACGGCATGGGCGGCCTCATCATCGTCTTCCTGGTGGGCATCATCTGGTTCCCGCTGCTCTTCATGTCCCTGGTGCGCTCCGTCGTGGGCGTGGTCAACCAGCCCATCGACGTCACCGTCACCCTCAAGCTGGGGGGCTACGAGGTGCGCGGGGGCGGGGCCGGAGGTGGGCGGGGAGAGCGCGAGGCGGGCTGCGAGGTGGGCTGGGCCCCCCAGCTCCCGGCCAGCCCCCAGCGCTGTGGCCGCCCCGCAGCCCCTGTTCACCATGAGCGCCCAGCAGCCGTCCATCACGCCCTTCACCCAGCACGACTACGACGAGCTGTCCCGCCAGTTCGACCCTCACCCGGTGAGCAGACCCCCGAGCTGCAGGTGGAGGGGACGCCGGGTGGGCCCGTCCACTGAGGCCCGCCCGCCGCCCGCACCCACAGCTGGCCATGCAGTTCATCAGCCAGTACAGCCCGGAGGACATCGTGACCGCGTACATCGAAGGCAGCTCCGGGGCGCTCTGGCGCATCAGCCCCCCGAGCCGGGCCCAGATGAAGCGGGAGCTGGACAACGGGACGGCCGACATCACCCTGCGCTTCACCTGGAACTTCCAGCGGGACCTGGCCAAGGGGGGCTCAGTGGAGTACACCAATGAGAAGCACACCCTGGGGCTGGCGCCCAACAGCACTGCGCGGCGGCAGCTGGCCAGTCTGCTCGAGGGCACCTCGGACCAGTCTGTGTGAGTGGTGCGGGTGGCCTGGCGGGAGGGCCGGGAGGGGCCGGGCTGGGTCTGAGTGGCCGACCTCCCGCAGGGTCATCCCCAACCTCTTCCCCAAGTACATCCGCGCCCCCAACGGGCCCGAAGCCAACCCCGTGAAGCAGCTGCAGCCCAGTGAGTTGTGCGGGGAGGGGGCCGGCCGCGGGCTGGGCGGGGGCGCAGCTGAGGCAAGCTCCTGTGCCCGCAGACGAGGAGGCCGACTACCTGGGCGTGCGCATCCAGCTGCGCAGGGAGCGCGTGGGCACGGGCGCGGCCGGCTTCCTGGAGTGGTGGCTCATCGAGCTGCAGGACTGCCAGGCCCACTGCAACCTGCTGCCCATGGTCATCTTCAGCGACAAGGTCAGCCCGCCCAGCCTCGGCTTCCTGGCGGGCTACGGGTGAGTGCGGGCACAGGTGGGCAGGCAGGCGGGGCGTGGGCAGGGCAGGGCCCAGCACCCACCGCCCGCTCCTGCAGGATCATGGGGCTCTACGTGTCCATCGTACTGGTGATCGGCAAGTTCGTGCGCGGCTTCTTCAGCGAGATCTCGCACTCCATCATGTTCGAGGAGCTGCCCTGCGTGGACCGCATCCTCAAGCTGTGCCAGGACATCTTCCTGGTGCGGGAGACGCGGGAGCTGCAGCTGGAGGAGGAGCTCTACGCCAAGCTCATCTTCCTGTACCGCTCGCCCGAGACCATGATCAAGTGGACGCGCGAGAGGGACTAGGGCGCCGGCCTGCCCACACGTACTGTAACGTTTTCTAATTAAAAACTTTATTTATAAACACTCTCGCCCAGGCCCGGCCCTGGTGGGTTTTAGCTGTCCCCTGCGGCGGGCTCCGGCACAGGCGCCTGAGTCTCCTGGGCGGCTCCGGCCCCGCAGGGGGGTTGCCCGGTGGGGCCAGGCGCTGGGCCCCCCACAGGACTCCCTGAGCACTGACACTTCTGACTCCGGAGCTGGGCCTCGGCCAGGATGTAGGGCGGCAGCGGGTCCAGGGAAGGCTGGGGGCGAGGGCGAAGGTGAGAGGAGGACCACCTACAGCACCCCTCCTCACTCTGGGTCACTCACCAGGTCCTTCATAGTCACCCGACAGCTGTAACACAGCTGCTCCAGGAGCTGGGCCCCGGCATGGCTTCTGTGGAGTGGACGGGACGGGCTGGCGTGAGCCCTCCACCCGGCGCGGGGCCGCAGGGTCCCTGTCCCTGCCCAGCAGCACTCACCTCTCACAGGGCCCAGACTCCCAGCAGCAGCCCTGGGCACTGCCCATCCCCGGCGAGCAGCTGGCCGGTCCGAGGGGAAGTGGCTGGGAAAGACGCAAGGTCTGCGCCCCGAAGGCCGTGGCACTGTCTGCAAGGGCGGGACATATGAGCGGGGGCAGGGCAGGACCACCCGTCCCTCCCGGCTGGCCAGCCAGGCCCACCTGCTGGGTCCACATCCAGCGCGCACAGGCAGAGCAGGCAGCGTGGGGCAGCACTTTCGTCCTTTGGGGCCTTGAGCAGCTTCTCGCTGGTCCTGGGGGCCCGGGCTGCGTCACAGATCACGGCTCTGGGCACGACCCCCTTCCCCCGCAGTGCCCGGCGCTCACCGGTACACGGTGCTGACCGTGGAGGGGAACCACGCTTGCAGCTCCAGCAAGAAGTTCTCCACCAGCCGGTGGACGCTGCCCTTCTCCAGGGCCTGAGGCCAAGGGTCAAACGGGATTACGGAGGGCCCGGCCCACGCCGCACCCAGCGCAGGACACACACGGGGCTGCACGCACCTTGGTGCTGATGGCGGGGGTGAACACGGTGGGCACGGCGAAGAGACGGTTGTAGAAGGCCACCTCCTTGAGCGTGTGCTCCCGCAGGGGCCGCACCACCACCACGTCCCCATAGCGCTCGTCGGAGAAGGCCTGCGGACAGGACACTCAGGACCCAGCCCCGCAGCCCGCCTGGGGTGGGGGCCTGCCCCCGCCGCCTACCGTGTCCCAGGCGAGGAAGGCCCCTCTGCCGAGCGCCAGGCCGGTCATGAGGCGTATGGCCAGGCGCGTGCAGCTGTCCCCCATCATCACCTTGGAGTAGCCGTGGGTCCGGGCCACGTGCAGGATCAGGTGGGTCCTGTGGGGATAGCAGGCAGGCTTGGCGGAGGCCCCGGGGCGGGAGGAGGGGGACGCTGGGGACTCACCGCAGCGTCTGCAGAAGCTCCTCCTTGGCCGTCAGCGTTGCCACCGAGTCAAACAGCCTGCACAGGGCCTCCGTCTGGGCGGCCGGGGGCAGCCTGGCCTGGTCGGGGGGCTCCTCCCTGGGGGCTGCACCGGGGCCTGCCTCAGTCCCCCCAGCCCACTGCCGCTGGAGGAAACTGTCCACAGCCGCCTTGTACGCCTCCCGTGGCCCCGGCGGCTCCTGGTCCGCGTGTCGCAGCACGGACGGCGGCAGGCGGAAGACCTGGGGGCAGAGGCAGGGCTGGAGGCACAGGCCACAGGACCTCCCAGGCAGCCCAGCCACAGGCCACGCACCTCTTCCAAGGCCACGGTGTGGCTGGGCCAGGGGATGCCGTCCAGGAAGCGCTTCACCTGGGCTAGCGTCTGCACGCGCGCCTCCGGGCTCTGGCCACAGGCTGCGGCCTCTGTGGGCGGGCAGGAAACGGGGTGAGCCCATGGAGACCCCCACAGAGGGTTGACAGGCGCTCCTGGGGCGGGGGTCCGACCCTTCACGCACTCGTGCAGTCGGCCCGCGCCGAGCACCCACGGGAGCCACCCACCCCACGTTCGTTCGTACCGTCCACGAACACCACCCCCGGCACGAAGCGCAGCCTCTTCGCGGACTCCCGACTCAGGCCCTGCGGGGAGAGCGGGGGGCGAGGCGGGGTCGGTGCCCGGAGAGGGTCCCGCCGGCCCCGAGCGCCCGCCCCGCCGGGACGGGCGGCGGACGCACCTCGAGCACCTGCCACACCAGGGAGCTGGAGGAAGCCCCGCCGGACCACGCCAGCAGCACCTGCGGAGGAGGAGGAGGAGGGAGGCGGCGCTCGGGGCGCGCCCCGGGGAGCCCCCACACCGCCCGGGCGGGGCGGGGGTCGCCGACCTTCTCTCCCGGGAAGACGAGGCGGTTCTTGCCCAGCACAGCTCGGAACTTGTGGGTGTAGTGGGCGCGGAAGCAGGCCCTGCGGGGGGCGCGCCGTGAGCCGGGCCGGGCTGGAGGTGGGGCGGCCTCGGCCCCGCCCGCCCGCCCGGGACCCCCGCTCACCTGCAGAAGGCGCCGCCCGCGCGCAGGGCCACCACCGGCCGGCCGGCCTCGCACCTGGCGCAGCTCCGCGCGCGGCTGCCGAGACAGCAGGAGCCGCGCTCGCCGCGCCCGCCGCGCCCGCCCCCGGGCCCCCGCCGGGCCCCGCCCGGACCCCGCGCTTACCCGGGCCGCGCGGGCGCCGCGCCCTCGCCCACCGGCTCCGCGTAGTCCTCGCCCGCCTGGCACATGGCGCGGGCGGCCCAGGCGGCGGCGGCGGCGGCGGCGCGCGTGACGTCACCGGCGCGCCCCACGTCACCGCGGCGCCGGCGCGCGCGTGACGTCGGCGCGGCGCCGTCGCGGCCGTGACGCGCGGGCCGGGCCGGGCCGGGCCGGGCCGGGACTGGACGGGCCGGGGCGGCGGCGGCGGCGCCCGGGATGGCGATGTTCCGCAGCCTGGTGGCCTCGGCGCAGCAGCGCGCGCCGCCGGGCGGGCCCGCGGGCGGCGACGGCGGACTGGAGGCGCAGTTCAGCTGCCCCATCTGCCTGGAGGTCTACCACCGGCCCGTGGCCATCGGCGGCTGCGGACACACGTGAGTGGCCGCCCCCCCCGGCGGGCGCTCCGGACACGGCCCCCCGCCCGCCCCCCGGCCCGGGAGCCGCCGCGGGGCGCGGGGCAGCTGCGGCCCGCCCCCCGCGGCAGCGGCGCCCCTGGGGGCAGAGGCGGGCGCCCGCGGGCGGGGCAGCCGGGGGTCGCGGCGCCCACCTCGGCCCTGCCGAGCGGAGGAAAGCCGGGCTCGGGTGGACCCGCCGGGGGCGGCCCGGAGGCCCTCGGCGGCTCAGTGCCCCCGCCCCCAGGTTCTGCGGGGAGTGCCTCCAGCCGTGCCTGCAGGTGACGTCCCCTCTGTGCCCACTCTGCCGCCTGCCCTTCGACCCCAAGAAGGTGGACAAGGCTGCCCACGTGGAGAAGCAGCTCTCGGCCTACAAGGCGCCCTGCCGGGGCTGCAACAAAAAGGTGCCCCCAGGGGACAGGGGCGGCACCTCCCTGCCCCGCCAGCGCCCCCCACCTCCCCGCCGCTCTGGGGTCGGTCGCGGCGCACGGGACGGGCCTAGTGCGCCGCTGCCCCCCGGGCCCCGGGGACGAGAAGTCGGCCGCCGCGCTGTCCCCTGCTGGCTCGGGGCCCCGCAGACCCTCCCAGAACGTCCCTCGCCGTCCGCGCCCCTGCTCTCCCGGCCCCTCCCCGCCCGCCCGCCCGCCCGCTCGCCCCGGGCCCCTGCCCCGCCTGCCTCCTGCAGCCCGCCCCCCTTCCCAGGTGGCGCTGGCCAAGATGAGGGTGCACGCAGCCTCCTGCGCCAAGACCCAGGAGCAGATGGCCAGCTGCCCCAAGTTCGCCCCCGTGGTGCCCACGTCCCAGCCCATCCCCAGGTAGGCACCCTCTGGGACGCGGGGCCCTTCCCCGGCAGGGCGGGCGGGCCCCGGCGGCCCTGCTCACCCCCCACCCGCCCCAGCGCCGTCCCCAACAGGTCCACCTTCACCTGCCCCTACTGCGGCGCCCGCAACCTGGACCAGCAGGCGCTGCTGCGCCACTGCGTGGACAATCACCGCAGCGACCCCAACCGCGTGGTGAGCGGGCGGGAGGCGTCAGGCCGGCTGCCCGGGGCGCCCGCAGCCCAGGCCCGGTCCCAGCCTGCGCCCTCTGTGCAGGTGTGCCCCGTCTGCTCGGCCATGCCCTGGGGGGACCCCAGCTACAAGAGCGCCAACTTCCTGCAGCACCTGCTCCACCGGCACAAGTTCTCCTACGACACCTTCGTGGTGGGTGGTCCCCGCGGTCTGCCGGGCGGTCGCGCAGGCTGGCCCACGCCGGGGGTCTGGCCGGGGCTGCTCGGGGGTGACGCGCCCGCTCCCGTCCCCAGGACTACAGCATCGACGAGGAGGCCGCCTTCCAGGCCGCCCTGGCCTTGTCCCTCTCGGAGAACTGAAGGACCACCGCCACCTTCGCCCCTCGGTTGGGCGCAGCCAGGGGTCCGAGCCCCTGGCAGGAGAGAGGCGCCCGCCGGGCTGAGTCTCCTCGGTGCTTGGTGTGGGGATCTCCCGCAGGGACAGCCAGAGATGCGGGCCAGCTCACGCCTGTCCTCCGTGCCCGCGTGAGGCTCCTGTGGCCTCGCCACTTCGCACTTTCCCGCCAGCCAGCGCCCTGGTCTCCCGGTTCCGGGCGGAGACGGCTGTCCGTGTTTGATTAGAACTTAGAGTATTTTTATGGAACATTTACAAAATTATATTTTTAAAAAGAAGGATCCACTGAGTCGCTGTGGCTGAGCCGAGCCCAGGAGGCTGCCCCCCACCCCGCCGCCACCCCTCGGGCGAACGGGGGCGCAGGCGGGGGCAGGGGCCCGAAAGCCACTCCGAGCTCATATGGGTCACAGCATCCAGTATCGCTTCTTTAAAAAAACAAAATAAAGCGTTTCTGAGCAGCTGTGCCTGGTCCGCTCTGTGTGGTGCCTGCTGGTGCAGGCACTGGGTGGCAGGTCTGGGGACAGCCGGACCACACGCTTCCCACCGCCCCTGAGGCCCGCGAGACTCCTTGGCACGTTTGGGAGCCAGGCCCACTTGCTCCCCAGATCGCTGAGGCTTTTAAGACCCTCGAACCCACCTCTGGGGCCCTCCCTCGAATGCCGTGTGCCCCAGACGCAGCTCTCCCAGGGAACGCGCCCCCCCCCCCCCCCCCCCCCCCCAGGGCCCTGGGCCTGTTCGGCACCTGGTCCTGGAGCCCAGCACCGCTGAGCCTGGGAGTTTGCCCTAGTATCTGGGAGTTTAAATAGAAGGCTCCTTTCTTATCTGTTCCTTTTGGGGGGCCATCTGGGGTGCTAGGGGTCGAACCTGGGTTGGCCACATGCAAGGCAAGCACCCTCCCCCTGTCCTGCCTGTCTGGGCCAAAGAAGACAGCGGGTGGGCAGGTGCCCAGCTCACAGCTGACCGGGCTGGGGTTCCCCTAGCACAGCCAGGAGTGACCCCGAGCACCCCTAGTGTGGCCCTGGGGAGGGCTCCCACACAGCCTGCAGTGCCCTCCCAGGCCCCAGGGGGACCCCTGCGGCGGCCTGCACCTGTGGGGCGTGGCCGGCGGCGCGCCCCGCCCACGCCGGGCGCCGATTGGCCAAGCCGGCTCGCTATGCTAATGAGCCTGACCCAGCCGCACCTGCCGGCGAGGGCGCGGGCCACCTGGAGGATGCGGGGAGCACTGGGAGCCGAGCCCCGCCCCTTCCTGGTGAAGACGCACTCCAGGCCCCGCGCCCCCAGCCCCCGGCTGGACACGCGGAGAGGTAGGGCGAGGGGACACCAGCCCCAGGTGCTGTCCGGCCAGCTCGCGGGGGCCCCGTCCATTCCCTGGACTGCTCTTTCTGGCCACCCCTCGTTCGGCTTGTGCAGGAGGCTGGGGGCCCAGGCAGCTGCCCTGCCCTGCCCTGTCCTGCCCTGCGAAGGGTGGCCTCAGGACAGCTGGCGGAGGGGCAGCTCAGGAGGAGACGACTGCCCACTCCTGCCATCCTCGCTGGGCAGGGACGCTTGAGTCCCATGTGAGCACGCAGAGCTGCCTGGGCCTCCTGGTCTGCTCAGACGCCACCTGACTGCCAGGACGGGGTGATGGGGCACAGCCCTCCGCTGGGCCTGGAGGTGGCCACCCGGGAACTCCGGGCCTGCCCTTCAACTCCAGGTGTGAGAGGAGCCCCTGAGTCACCCAGGGGGCTTGGTGTGCACTCAGGATCAGGTGGGCGCGGACTGGCCTGGGAGGCCGGCTTCAGGCCAACACGGCAGGGTGGCGCAGGTATTACACAGAAGCACCGAGCCGCCCCGGTGCCCGCTCTGAGCTGCTGTATGTCGGCAGGGCACCAGCTCACCCAGGCTGCTGTTGGGAGGTGGGGGTGACCGTGGGGGGCTGAGGGAGCAGGGGCGGCCGCGTGTCCGCCTCCTGGGAGTTTCTCCACACTAATGGAATCATCTTTGCTGTCTACTGCTTTAGGCCTCAGCCGGCATGCACAGGGGAGGATGGTCTGTGCGGGGCCTATGCCCTGCCTCTGGGCAGGCCCCCGGACCGTGCCATTTCTTGCTTTAATTCAAATCATTCTGGTGTCTGTGACATGAGGGCCTCAGAGGGCTATGACCTGCCTTTCCACGTCCTGGTGGCATCTCTTGTCCTGTGATAATTGACATTCACACGTCTACTTTGGGGGTGTCTGTCATGGTCCTCTGTGTACTTTTAAGCATTTTTTTGGCATTTTGGGTCACGCTCAGCAATATTCAGGGGTTGTTCCTGGCTCTGCATGCAGGAATCACTCCTGCTGGTGCTCAGGGACCGTGTGGGGTGCCGGGGATCAAACCTGGGTCGGCCACATGAAGGCAAACACCCTCCCTGCTGTGCTAGCACTCCGGCCCCACATGTCTTCTATCGCTTTGGTTGTCCACTTGCAAGAGTCGTGCTCTGTTCTGGGCTGGCCGCCGCGACACGTCCAGCCAGCACAGCCTGTCGCCCTGCTGCAGGACGGCTGCCGTTTGCTCGCAGCCGTGCGGGGCAGAGATGGCGTGGAGGGATGGGACGGGGACCCTCGGAGTGGGCCTCTCTCAGCTGCCAGACGGGGTGTGCCGGTCTCTGGGGCCTCCCAGTGGCACATCAGGGAGAGCCCACGTCTGCAGGCTTGGGCAGGGGCTTCAGCAACCGTCTCTCCCGCCCCCCAGACGGCCCGGAGTGCTGTGTCACCTGCTGGAGGCTGGCCGCACTTCCTCCTGGACAAGGGGGCCTCCTCTGTGCCCAGCGACCCAGTGTGGGATGGTGTCGCCTTCCTCAATCACCCGAGTCTCCCGGAGCAATGGTGCTCAGGGCCCCTCTGGGCCAGACATCCTGGAAGTGCCCCAGGCGGACCCCCTGGCCGGCTGGATCCCCAGCCTGCACCTCAAGGACAGCCAACCCCCACCGCCCGCAAGGTGGCCGCTGACCCTGGGCTCAGATGGACAGACTGCCGGGGCTCAAAAGGGCCCCTCCAGCCCCTGGCTGGTGGGCTTGGCAGTCCACGGCCCACGTCGCTTCCTCTGCAGACGCTGTGACAAGGAGCACAGCGGCCTGGGTGCCCTCAGAGTGCACATCTGCCCCCACGCACCGCCCTGCAGGTGCCCCTGTGCGACAAGGCCTTCTCCAGGCCCTGGCTGCCACAGGGACACCTCCGCACGCACACAGGTGGGTCACACAAGCACGCAGCAGGCCACGCGCATGCACACTCACGGCAGGTCACACACATGAGCAGATCATGGGGCACCAGGGCAGGACGGGGCGTGGCAGGGGTGTCGCCTCCTCCCAAGGCCTCTAGGCTCTCGGCCCCTTGGGGTACTGACCGCTTTGCAGTACGTTGACTGTGGACCCCACCTCTGTGGCAGTGGCCCCTGTCCACCTTTCTCACAGGACATGGGCCTCATGGCCAGCAGCCGCTGGTGGCCTTGGCTTCGCCTGTGTCTGCAGAGAAGCTGCAGGGTGCTGAGCCTCTGAGGTGGGCTGCCCAGCGCTAGCCACCACTGTCTCTCCATCCCAGACCTGGAGGGGCCCCACTATGCCCCCGGCCTGGCCACAGCTGCCCCAGGAAGCCTGCCTAAGTGGGCTCTCTTTCTGGGTGCGGCCAGCTAAATGAGGCCAGCACCTGTCGCCTCAAGCAGGGAATCTCACAGGCCCCAAAATAAAGCCGCGTGTTAGTCTCTCGGCTCCAGCCCATGGAAAATGCTCTTATTTATATCTGGGGGCAGGAGGCTGGCAGGGGCGGGAGAAAGGGCTCAGCTGGGCACAGCGCAGGCAGCTCCCGGCAGGGGAGCAGGGCCAGGCCCCCCGGGCCCAGTGGTTGTGCCCCAGCACGGAGTCAGTGCTGCTTTGGGCCCAGGGTCATGGGTCAGAGAAGACCAGTCTGGCGAGCCCTGGTGTGGTGTGGCCTTGGGGCCTCTTTGCAGGACACAGCTAGACTCTGGGAAGCTGCTGCCCGGGCCACTCTGGGGTTCTTGGGGTCTGCGAAGAGCCCCTGCCCCGTTGTTCTTGTTTGTGGCGGAGAGCCCAGTGCGCCGCTAAGATTAGTGCTGGCAGATCTCGGCCCCCTGGGCAGTGCCACCGTCCCAAGGACACACCTGCTGGGGCCCCGCCGGCTGAGTGCCCGTACTGCCAACCCAGAGGCCTGGCCAGGGCCACAATACTGCCCCCTTCTGTCAGGACACTGTGCAGGGTGGCTGACGACAGGCTCAGAGAGAGGGTGATAGCAGGGCGAGCATGCAGTTGTGAGGGTGGCGGGTAGGGGTGAAGGTGGAGAGTAGGGGTGTAGGTGAGGGTGCAGGAATGAAAGTGCATGTGAAGGGGTGAGGCTGAAGGGTTGAGGGTGTATGTGTAGGCATGAGGATGAAATGGTTAGGACGTAGGAGGGTGAGGAGGTGAGGGTGCAGGTACAGGGGTGAGGATGAGGGCACATATTGCAGGGGTGAGGGTGGAGGTAGCATTTGCAGGGGTGAAGGTGAGTAGGCGAGGGTGAGGAGGTAACGACACATATGCTGGGGTGAGGGTGGAGGGTGCATTTGCAGGGGTGAGGGTGAGGAGGTGAGGGTGCAGGTACAGGGGTGAGGATGAGGGCACATATGCAGGGGTGAGGGTGGAGGTAGCATTTGCAGGGGTGAAGGTGAGTAGGTGAGGGTGAGGAGGTAACGACACATGCTGGGGTGAGGGTGGAGGGTGCATTTGCAGGGGTGAGGGTGGGGAGGTGAGGGTGCAGGTGCAGGTGAGGGTGAGGAGGTGAGGGTGCAGGTACAGGGGTGAGGGTGAGGAGGCGAGGGCACATATGCAGGGGTGAGGGTGGAGGGTGCATTTGCAGGGATGAGGGTGAGGAGGTGAGGGCGCAGGTGCAGGGGTGAGGGTGGAAGTTGCATTTGTAGGGGTGAAGGTGAGGTGAGGGCGCAGGTGCAGGGGTGAGGGTGAGGAGGCGAGGGTCCACTGCAGGGGTGAGGGTGAGCAGGAGCGGGCACTGGGGTGCAGGTGAAGGGCTTCTTTCACGGAGGCTCTTCTTCAGTCTGAACCAGCCACAGACACAGGTTGGAGGCAGGGGCTGCAGAGATGGGCAGTGTGGGCCCTGCAGCCTTGGGGGTCCTCCCCATGAGAGGGGCAGCCCCTGGGACCCTCTGGGCTACAGGTGTGTGCTTGGGGGATGCAGTTCTCCCCAGCAGGCACCTTCGTTCTGAGGCGGGAAGCCCCGGCACGACGTGTCCCTCCACCACCCCGAGTCTGGCTCAGAAGCGCTTCCTACCGACACCTGGGGAGGGAGGAGCTGCCACGGCCCCTTCCAGAGAGGACAATTCCGCAATGCACCACGGGGACCGGACGGGGATACAGAGGGGCGGGGTCCTGTGCCAGAGATGACCCTGCCTGAGTGGGAACCCTGAGACGGGGCCGGGCCATAGGACCTGGGCGTCGTCCCCCACAGGAGCCTCGGGAGCTTGTCCTCCAGCACAGGGGAGGGGGGCGCCCAGGCGGGGGTGCAGCCTGACCCAAGGTGGCAGGGATTCAAGCAAGGCAGACGGACACAGCTGTGGCCAGCAGCTCCCGGGCATTGAGCACACGCTGACGTGGGGCCGCGGGCTGGTGCCGACCTGTGCAGGCTGTCCTAGGCTCGCACAGCTGGGGGGGGATCCCAGTGCCCCAGTGACCTGGACAGGACACATCCCCACCTGAGGTCGCCCCTGAGCATGACCTGGGGCGGCCCCAGAAGTAACTGACTGACGCCCAAAGAGGAAATAAACCCCGAGAGGCAGGGGCAGAGGCAGGGGTGGGGAGGGCATGGGCAGACACCAGCCCAGCTGCTCCCCAAAGGGGAGAGAACCCAGGCGACCCACAGCACCCAGAGGCCTGACACATTACCTAGGGACACCATGCACCTGGCCGAACTAGGACAACAGCTTCCTCCCGCATCTGCACCCTCAGACCTCCATTCCACCCAGAGGCGACTTGTCCCATCTGCAACCTTTTAGTGTCTTTGCTTTTCCGGTCACACCGGTAATGCTCCAGAGTTACTCCTGGCTCTGTGCTCAGGGACTGCTCCTGGCGGTGCTCTGGGGACCCTATGGGATGCCGAGGGTCTAATCCGGCCTGCCCCTGTGCCAGGCAAGTGCCCTCCCTGCCGTTCCATCGTTCTGGTGCCTCTGCGACTTTCTTGTGTAAGAATCCTCACACTTGGGGGCTGGAGCGATAGCACAGCGGGTAGGGCATTTGCCTTGCACGCAGCCAACATGGTCGACACAGCTTCGATTCCCAGCATCCCATATGGTGCCCCGAGCACTGCCAGGAGCAATTCCTGAGTGCAAGAGCCAGGAGTAACCCTTGACCCCTGAGCATCGCCGGGTGTGACCCAAAAAAGCAAAAAAAAAAAAATCCTCACACTTGCACAGAGACGGGGAACTAAGTAAATGTTATTTATTTAAAATTTTCATGTACCAGGGGCTGGAGCTATAGCACAGCAGGTAGAGTGTTTGCCTTGCATGCGGCCAACCCAGGTTCGATTCCCAGCATCCCATATGGTCCCCTGAGCACTGCCAGGGGTGATTCCTGAGTGCAAAGCCAGGAGTAACCCCTGTGCATCACCAGGTGTGACCAAAAAAATCACTTGACAGCCTGTTATTCATCGATTTGCTCGAACGGGCACCAGTAACGTCTCCATTCATCCCTGTCGCGTGCTAGTGTAGCCCAGTGGAGTCTGCTCATTCTAGGAACACGAAGAGCCTCAAACCCATCGTTCAGGGTCTTGACGAAGAAGTCTGACCATCTCACAGGTGGGTGTCCGCGCGGTCTTTTGCCGTCCCATGGAATCCAGTCGGTAATCCGGCTCTGGTCCAGCGGTCATCTCCAAATCTCATTACTGTCCAGCCCATCTGATTTTTGACGCCTTGGCAAACGAGACAGCGTCCCTGATTCTAACCAAATAAATAAATAAATAAATAAACTTTTCATGTACCTCTTGGGTCGGCTTCTGGGCCATGCCCAGCGACCCTCAGGGCTGACTCCCAACGGGCCCAGGGGACCCTAGGTGGACTGAGGCTGGGTGGGCGCCGGGCGGGAAACGCTGGACCCTGGGTCTTCATGCCTGCAGGGCCGAGGCCTGGCGGTGCCGGCCGTCCGGGAGGACCCCCAGGCCGGGCCGCGCCCCTCACCGCAACTCCGTCCTGGGGGCAGGGGCAGGGCAGGGTGCGCGGGGCAGGAGGGGCCCGGGCTGCACCCGGTGCCCCCTCGCGTCCGCGCGCCCCCGCCAGGCCGCCCGCGCCTGCGCACTGCCAGGCCCGGGGCGGGGCCGCGGGGCGGGGCGCTGGGTCGGCCGCCCGGATCGTCCGATCCCCCTCATTGGCTGAGAGCTGGAGCGTGGGCGGGGCCCGCGCAACCTGATTGGCCGGCGCGCGTCGCGCGGGCCAATGGCGCGGAGGGGCGGGGCCCCGCACCTCCAAGGGCGGCCGCGCGGGGCGGCCGGGCAGTGCGGCGCGACCATGGCCTCGGCCCAGCTGCGCGCGGTGACCTGCACGGCGCCCGTCAACATCGCCGTCATCAAGTACTGTGAGTGTCGCGGGGCCACGCGCGGCCCGGCGGGCCCGGCTCCCGCACCCGCACCCCGCGCCCCGCACCCCGCACCCGGCCTGCCGCACCCCGCACCCCTCTCCCGCACCCCGCACCCCGCACCCGCACCCCTCTCTCGCACCCCGCACCCCGCTCCCCGCATCGCGGCTGGGGACAGGCTGGTCCCCGGGCGGCCCGGACGGCGCGGGGCGCTCGGACCGAGTGGGCGGTGGTGGTGGCACCAGGCGGGTCCCCCGTTCCCAGCCCGCGGTCGGCCTGAGCAGCCCTGGCTGGGACCCCCAACAGAACAACAGGCGTTGGGTAGCTCTTCCGTTTCCTTTTCTTTCTCAGTGCTGTCATGAGGCCCTTGTTGGGACTCGCCCAGCAGTGCTCCGGGCTCGCTCTGGGCAGGCATCCGGGACCACATGGGCTTCCGGGGGTCCGATTCGGGTTGGCCGTAGGCCCTCCCCGCCGCCCTTCTGTGGTTCCGGCAGCTCGCTTTTGAGAACAAGTCGGGGAGGGAAGGGTGTGCTCCCGAAACACATCCACGGTGCCAGGGCCGGAGCAGGAGCACGGCCTTGGGGCTGGAGGGACGGCCCAGGGCAAGGTGCTTGCGTGCCTGCTGCCAACCCCAGTGTGGTCCCCGACACCATGTATGTTCCCTTGACCCCCGAGTGCCAGCGGTGTGGCCCCTAACAGAGGCTGCTCTGCCTTGCGTGCAGGGACTAGGGCTCAGTCCAGGTGCCAGGTGCCAGGTGATCCCGTATGTTCCCCTGAGCCCACCAAGAGTGATCCCTGAGCTCAGAGCCAGGGGCACGCCCTGAGCACCACCAGGTTGGCTCAAGAGCCATTTAAAAAGATGCCGGAGCACCTGATGTGGGGGCAGGCTTGAGGGGTGCTTGGGAAAATCGGAGGCAGCGGTGGAGGAAAGGTGACCGTAGTGGTGCCGTCGGTGCTGGAATTTTGGGTGCCTGGAACGAGTCATGAACTGCGTGTGAACCACAGTGCTGATGGAAAGTGGAGAGGGAAAAAAATCCACCTAAGTGAATTACCTATTTCATGTAAACTCCAAAATATGTCAGCACAGACTTTCTTTTAAAAGTTTTATTTTAATGACAGGTAAGACATGATTATTACCATGAGATCGAATTAGAAAATAAAATTTAATGCAGTATGTTTTAGATTCCAGAGTTAAAAACTCCCTTATGTGAGAATAATCATTTTGCTGTATTGTATTAAAGGGTTTTATTTTCCTTATTTACATAGGTTAAAATCACATAGCAATCACAGATTGGCTCTTACTGATTTCTTTTTTTTTTTACATTTTGGGTCACATTTGGTGATGCTCAGGGGTTCCTCCTGGCTCACGCACTCAGGAATCACTCCTGGCGGTACTCGGGGGACCATATGGAATGCTAGGAATTGAACCCGGGTCGGCCCCGTGCAAGGCAGACGCCCTCCCCGCTGTGCTGTCGCTCCTGCCCCACTGATTTGTTTTCTGATCATTCTGTTTGCCATCCTTAACGTTTTGTCGGAACAGGTTATATGTGGAACATCTGCATTTGTTGTGAGCCTCAGGGGGCAGGTTGGGGAAGGGAGGAGAATGGGGACTTTGCTGGAGGGAGGTCACGCTGGTGTGTTGGAACACTGGCTGCCTAAGGCGACCGATAGCGAACACCTTCATGAACCGTGGAGTTTTTAATGAAGATGAAGTTTAAAATGTGTTTTAAAAAGACCCCTGAAGCGCAGCGCCAGTGCCCTCTGGGGTCTCACTGTGCCTCTGTCTGGCAGGGGGCAAGCGTGACGAGGAGCTGATCCTGCCCATCAACTCCTCCCTGAGCGTCACCCTGCACCAGGACCAGGTCAGCGGGCGGGGAGGGGGCTGGCTGCTGGCCAGGGCTGCTGGGTCACAGTCGAAACCGTTCGTGACGCAGTAACTGCACGGCAACACCAGGGCAGACACCTGCACCCTGGCCACACGCATGTGCACCCTGGGTCACACGTACACAGGAATGCAGACACGTGTGCACACGCCTGTGCACTGGGTCCCATGTCCTTATACCCGGACTCACACACGCCCAGGTCGCACGTGCACACTCCCGCAGGCTGGGCTCTGGGATGGGCAGTGGTGACCGGCCACGAGCTCCCTGGCGGGGAGAGCAGGGCCGGCCTGTGGACGTGGGCCCGCCTCAGTGCCTCTGTCGCCCTGCAGCTGAAGACCACCACCACAGCCGCCATCAGCAAGGCCTTCACCGAGGACCGGATCTGGCTGAACGGCCGTGAGGAGGACGTGACCCAGCCGCGCCTGCAGGCCTGCCTCAGGGAGAGTGAGTGTCTCTCGGGAGGGCCGCGCGTCCCGCCGCAGGCTCCGCCCCCGTGACCAGTGGCCTCGTCCCGCAGTCCGCCGCCTGGCCAAGAAGCAGAAGAGCGCCGGTGGGGAGGACCCGCTGACTCCCAGCTACAAGGTCCACGTGGCGTCCGTCAACAACTTCCCCACAGCGGCCGGCCTGGCCTCCTCGGCAGCCGGCTACGCCTGCCTGGGTAGGTGCCCGGGACCCTGCCCAGAGCCTCTTAGCTCCCGTGTGAGTGCGGGGTGCAGCCGTCTGAGTGCCCCCCGGGACGGGCAGGATGTCCGGCCAGCCGGAGGCCGGCCCCGCTCCCCACACCGGCGCCAGGAGTCCTGCCAGACGCCTCCAGACGGAGTGTCGCGGGGAGCCCGTGGGCTCTTCGTGGCGCTGAGGCCCTTCCCGTGCCCGCAGCGTACGCCCTGGCCCGCGTCTACGGCGTGGACGACGACCTCTCGGAGGTGGCTCGCCGTGGCTCGGGCAGCGCCTGCCGCAGCCTGTACGGCGGCTTCGTGGAGTGGCAGATGGGCCAGCAAGCAGATGGCAAGGACAGCGTCGCCCGGCAGGTCGCCCCCGAGTCCCACTGGCCGGAACTGCGTGTCCTCATCCTGGTGGTGAGAGCGCCGGGCACGGGCACGACCGTGGGGACTGGAGGAGGGCGGTGATGCCAGCCCGGCTCTGAGGACTCTCCTAGAAACACCGCCAGCGTCGGCTCCCTGACAGCTGCCCGGGACTGGGTGGCGTGGCAGGGTTGGCGTGGCCAGAGCGTGTCCCTGTGTGCAGGTGAGCGCCGAGAAGAAGCAGACGGGCAGCACGGTGGGCATGCAGACCAGCGTGGACACGAGCGCGCTGCTGCGGGTAGGTGGTGCCGGGCGGGGCGGGGGCTGCCGGCCGGGCCCCAGCCGGGCCTCACCTCTGCTGCCTGCAGTTCCGTGCGGAGAAGGTGGTGCCGGCACGCATGGCCGAGATGGTGCGCTGTGTGAAGGAGCGCGACTTCCCGGCTTTCGGCCAGCTGACCATGAAGGACAGCAACCAGTTTCACGCCACCTGCCTGGACACCTTCCCGCCCATCTCCTACCTCAACGACACATCCAGGCGCGTCATGCAGCTCGTCCACCGTTTCAACAGTCACCACGGGCAGACCAAGGCACGGCCCCACCCCGTCTGACCAGCCACCGGCAGGCCCCCTGCCCCCTTGCTCGGCTCAGGCTCGGCCCTCGGGGGAGCAGGCCGGGAGCCCTTGTTCACACCTGTGCCGGCTGGGCGAGGCCGGGCTGGGCGGTTGCTCACAGCTGTGCTGCCGGTGGCCCCGGCCGGGAGCGGGCGGGGGACGGGGCGGGGCACTCACGGCTCTGCTGCAGGTGGCGTACTCGTTCGACGCGGGCCCCAATGCCGTGATCTTCACTCTGGACCACACCGTCCCGGAGTTCCTGGCCGCCGTGAAGCACAGTTTCCCCCCTGAGGCGAATGGGGACCCGTGCGTGGTGGGGCCTCCTGGGAGTGGGTAGGCAGGGCCCCGTCCGGCTCTGGCCTCGCCCCTGACGTGGGTCCTGCCTGCCAGGTTTCTGAAGGGGCTGCCGGTCACTCCCGCCCCACTCTCCGATGCCCTGAAGGCCGCGCTGGCCATGGAGCCCAGCCCTGGGGCCATCAAATACGTCATTGCCACCCAGGTAGGCCCGCACCTGCTGGGTGACCCCATGGCCCGGTGGGGACAGGACTTGGGGCTCCGGTGTGGCTCCCAGCACCCCAGCCCCACACTGTCTATCCACAGGCTGGGCCCGGGCCTCAGACGCTGGACAACCCCCAGGAACACCTCCTGGGCCCCGACGGCCTGCCGAAGTAGCCCATCCTGGGAGGGCCACAGAGCTGCCACTGACATGTGTAGAGCTTCTCAGGGACTGGCCGGCGCCCATCCGGCTTGCTGGGGCCAAGTTGGCTGCCTGGCCAAGGGTGGCGTGAGGATCCTCTGTGTGGCTGCAGGGACAGAGACCCCTGGGGGAGGCAGGCTTGGAGCCTCTGTCATGCTGCAGGGTGCCCGGCTTGAGGCATGATGGCCACCACTGTCTGGCAGGACCTTGGGCGGAGGAAGACCAGCTGTGGGGGGGCTGTGGGGGAGTTTATTCCCACTGGCAATAAACACGACTGAGCTGCCCTGGTTGCTTCTTTGGTTCTTGTCTCAGTGCCCATTCCTGGGGTCTGGCTCCACAGGGCGAGGGGGGCCACTTGGGCGAGGGAGGCCACTCCTGTCCACTCGGGGCTGAGGGTGAGGCCCTCTGGGGAGCCGGTGAGGAGGGCTCTTGGCCGGTCCTCTAGTCCACCCCTAGCTGGACTCCTCCTGGCCCTGGAAGAGGAGGCATCCCCCACCCCTAGCTGGACTCCTCCTGGCCTGATGGGCCTGGGAGCAGGCCACCCCTGCTGCCCACACCGGGACTCAGTTCCATGGATGCCCAGCCCAGAGGCAGGAGGAAATGGACAGGCCCCACCCCCTGGGCAGGCTCGACCCCAGACCCTGGGTGGTCCCGGGAGCCACCGGGTGGGGGTAGGGAGTTCTGGGAATCGGGCACCCTGGCACTGAGGTCCTCTGTCAGTCCTGCGGCCTGAAAGGGGGCCCGGGGCGTCAGGGCGTGGCCAGCAGAGGAGGGCGCGCGGGACTGGATGGGATGGGGCGGGGCACGGGTGGCATTGGCGGGACCAGAACGGTGGGGCTGGGCCCTGGGCTGGTGGGCGGGGCGGGGCCTGTCCTGGCCGAGGGGGCGGGACCTGTCCTGGACGGGTGGGCGGGGCCTGTCCTGGCCGAGGGGGCGGGGCCTGTCCTGGACGGGTGGGCGGGGCCTGTCTGGATGGGGGCGGGGCCTGGTCTGGGGGCGGGGCGGGCGGCCGGGCGGCGCCGGAACTGGGCGACCCGCGGGCAGCATCGCTCCGGCCGCCTTCGCATCGCCATGGGGCACATCGAGTGGGCCATGTGGGCCAACGAGCAGGCGCTGGCGTCCGGCCTGAGTGAGTGGGCAGCGGCGGGCGGGGCGGGCGCGGCTCGCGGGGATCTCCGGGTGTCCCCGGAGCGGTCCCTGCGCGGGGCGGGCGCTGCCCCGGCGCCCGGGGTGCAGGCCAGCCCCCCGCGCCGTCCGCTGCGTCCAGCCGGGCCCGGCGGGGCTGAGCGTGCCGGGGAGGGGTCCCGAATCCCCCTGCACTCTCGGCGCGCGCTGCCAGCCCAGGAACTGCCCAGAGACCCCGCAGGCCCAGACCCCCGCCCCGTCCGCCGGGGCCCACCTCTGTCCACCCCCTCGGCAGGCAGCCTGGCGCCGTCCCTGCCGCCGTAGGCCAGGCCGGGCCCGCGGGAGCGCCCGAGGGCACAGGGGGCCGTTTGCCCCGCGTGGGGCCACCAGTAGGGCCACACCTACGTCCAGGAAGTTCCCGGGCCAGAGACGGGACTCAGCCCGAGAACCGCTAGGTGTGACCCGAAGACCCGGAGCCCAACAGATAAGAAGGGGTGAAGTGCTCGGGGCATCCATCTCCCCACTCTTGGTGGCCCAGAGCCCCTGTGTGTCCCCGATCTGCAGCTCGGAGCCGCCCTGCGCCCCAGGTCCCCAGAAAGCAAGAACAGAACAGGAAGTCAGAGGAGCCCCAGATGCGAGTGGGGGTGGGGTGAAGCCCGCCCTGGGGCTGCGAGCTCAGGAAAAGGGGAACTAGTGGGCACGGCGCAGCCCCTCCTGCGGGTGACTTGGGCGCATTCTGCGGACACCCCCTGGGCACAGCGGCCAGGCCACCGTGGGCGACCACCTCTGGCTGACTCTAGGAAGATCCTAGAAAGTTTCCAGGGTCCCTCCCCTCCAGGAGGAAAGGAATGTACTGCCTGGACCCCCACCCATGCAAAGCCCACGGGGAGGAGGGATCGGGCAGCTCAGGGGAGGCAGAGCAGGAGGAGGAAGAGCAACAGAGGAGGGGGGGGAGGAGGGGGGGGAGGAGGAGGAGCAGGGACGGGCAGTCCCAGGCCTTCTCAGCCCAGACTGGCCGTGGGTGCTGGACCGTCCCTCGGGGGTGAGGTTGGAGTCTATCTGAAGCTCACCTCTCAGGACTTCGTCCTCTTTGCTTGGTTGGTTCTGCAGCCTCACGGGCAGACCTCGGGGCTCGCTGGCGGGGCTCAGGCCACCTGACCTTGGCTCCAGCCCCGGACTGTCTTTGTTTTTTCACTTTGGGCTCTATGTCTTGGGTCCACACCTGGCTTGAGCCAGGGAGTCAGCTGGGGAGGGGAGGTGGGCACGTGCGGCTGGGTGCGAGGGCTGGCCTGCCCTGACCGGGTGCCTGCTGACCCTCTGCCCACAGTCCTCATCGTCGGCGGCATCGTGGCCACTGTCGGGCAGTTCACACAGTGGTACTTCGGAGCGTATTCCATGTATCCTCCTGCCGTGGGCTGGGGGGGGGCGCTGCCGTGGAGGGGGGGAGCGGGCCCCGCGCGTTGGTCCCAGCCAGAGTCGCTCTTCCTTAACGGGCTCGGTGGGGCGGGTGCCCTCGTGTGTGTGCTGGAGTACCCCCGCGGGCAGCGTGAGCACGGCTCCACCATGGAGCGGTGGTGAGTCCCCGGGGCTGTGGGGTGGGGGGGTCGGGCGCGGGATGGGGACACACATGCCTGTGTTGCTCCCTCGCAGTGGACAGAAGTATGTCACCAGGCTGGTGAGGCTGCTGGGGCCCCTGGCCAGGAACTACTACATCCGCGCCTTCCTGCACCTGGGGTGAGTCGGCGCCTTCAGGGCCCAGTCTTGAGGATCCGAGTGGCCAGCCTGGGGCTCCCCAGGGCTGGGCCCTCTGGTCCCAGCACTTCCCTCTGCTGCAGGCTGGCGGTGCCCGCGGGCTTCCTGCTGGCCACCATCCTGGGGACGGCCTGCCTGCTCATCGCAAGCACCATCTACCTGCTGGTGAGTGCGCCCAGCACCTCCGGAAACCACGGGGGGTGGGCCCGCCACACACCCTGCCCTCACCCAGCAGACTGAAGGGGCTTGGGTGGGGCGCTGCCGGGCACCTTCGAGAATGTGGGGCCGGGCTGGGCCCAGCCCTGCCCCTGCGGCTGGCCATGGGCCACTTGCCACCCCACTTTATAGCCAGTCTGAGTTCCTGGGGTTTGGGTCCTGTTTGGGGGAAGGGTCCCCAGCGGTGCTGGGGGCCTGTTCTGGCTCTGCTCGGCCTCAGGCCTGGGGTCAGTGCATGTCGGGACTGGACCATGTGGTCTTCCCCGAGTCCTGCCCATCACCCACTCCCAGTAGGCCACGGCAGTGAGAATCATCTTCTGGGCTCCTGCAGGCCTCGGGCACTCCGCTGTCCCCACCTGTGGACACTGCCCCCACCTTCTGGGCTCAGAATTGACTCCAGGGAGTGACCCCGGAGTCCCCAACAGTTCTGGGCACCCGCTGGCCCCACGCCAACCCCCTCACCTCTCAGTGACCCACACTGGGCCCCTGGGAGGGGGCTTGGCTTCCTGGTGACCCGGCCACTCTGCACCCCCAGGCTGCCACCCGCGGGGAGCAGTGGACCCCCATCGAGCCCAAGCCCAAGCCGCGGCCACAGGCTGGGACCACCATCAAGCATCCGCCCAGCAACCCCCCTCCCCGCCCCCCTGCCGAGGCCCGCAGGAAGCCAGCTGGGGAGCCAGAGGGGCAGGCGGGGCACGAGGACCCTGCAGCTGGTGGCCCCCAGGCCAACCCTCAGCCTGTGACCGACGAGGTGGTGTGAACAGAGCCTGACAATAAACAGCGCAGAAGCGGCCCTTGCTCTGGGGTGCAGTGGGGCCGGGTGCGGAGGTTCGGGGCGCAGTGGGGGTGGGGGTGGGGGGGGCTGGGGGTGGGGAGGGTGCGGGGGGGGGGTCGGCCTGCCTGCTCCTCCCTCAGCCACTTTTGGCCCACACCTAGCAGTGCTCAGGGGCTACTCCTGACTGCACTCAGGAGTGACTCCTGCAGGGCCTGGGGGACATTTGTGCCGGGAAGCGACCCCAGGTCCCTGTGTGTGAGCGGACACGTGCCCTCCCCACTGCGCTCGCCCCTCGGCCAGTTTCCTGTCTTCAGCCACATCTTGCTTGGCTGCTGGGTCTGCGACAGGGCACCGGGGCGGCACCCACATGGTCTGGCACCTCAGGGTCACCGCATGCCCAGCGAATGGGACATCCTCCCGGGCCCTGGGCAGGAGCCCCACAGAGCCCCAGGGACTGGGCCCCTTGCCCGCCCCATCTCTCCTGGGCTGGGGCCGGCCGGTCATTCACTTGCCCTGTCCTGGCCATGAGCTGCGGGACCTGACCCTGGGCAGCACCTTCCTGGGGTTGCAGGTGCAAACCTACAGGTGTGTGTGCAGATGTTTCTGGAAGGGCACAGTAGGACCGGCCCAGGTTGTCCCAGGGACTGGCTGGGGTCAGAGGTTGTCAGGTGAGGGTGGGGGGAGTACACCCTTCCAGGACCACATTCCGGGGGGTGGTGAGCTGCGCACATTCACGGCACCACAGGTGACTTTCAGAAACACCAAAGCTTGTTTCAGGCAGAGATGGGAAGGGGCTGGGGGCGCTCTGGACCAGCCTGAGGCCTCTGGGGAACAAAGGGGCAGGGCTCCTGAGCAGAAGGTTCTGGAAGAAGAGGCTTCCTTGCAGCCCAGCTGTTCTGTGGAGGGAAATCCTGGCGCTGGGACGTCGAGCTCCGTGACGACAGACCCGGCCATAAATACACACGGATGGGCAGCTTGGCTCAAGGTGCCGAGCGGGGCACCACGCAGGTGCAGCCGACCGGCACCTGGATGAACTCCGTGTGGAAGGCCACAGCTCCGGGCAGGGGCGCGGCCGCAGCGTGCGGGGCACAGGGCCGGCGGCGCAGCACCGGCAGGGTCTGCAGCAGCGGGACCGAGTTCAGGGCCGGCGTCTCGCGGCCCGACCGCGTGCTCAGGCAGCCCCGGCACAGACACTCGGCCCAGGCCAGCTTCCGCGGGTGTCGGCTCTCGTCCGAGTCCACGCTGTGGGGACGGATGGGACGGGGTCAGCCCGGGCCAGCCCGGGCACAGGCAGCACCCCACCCTGAGCCCAGCCCGAGCCTCACCGGTATCTCCAGGGTGAGATGGAGCGTTGGTGGACGCCGTCCCCCAGGCCGCCCTCTGTGTGCAGCACAGGGCACTGGGGCCTGGCCGCTGCCTCGTGCCGCTTCTGGCGGGCCACCGCCTCCAGACTGGACACCAGGGCCACCGGCAGGGCCTGCTCCCACCTGGCTGCTCGAGCCAGCAGGTGGGGGGGCACGTGGCCAAGCGGCAGCTCCTCAGCCGTGTAGCAGCGCGGGGTCCCCCGGAGCGGGGGGCTGCCGTGCTGAGCCAGACAGACGGGCAGCCAGGGCAGCAGCCAGAGGCAGGCGAGCCGGAGGGACAGGCGGGGACCAGGGCGCGGCCGTGAAGGAGGCTGGGCTGTCCTGCCCCGGGGACGCAGGGTCAGCTCGTGTCCAGCGGGGATGCAGAAGCCGACAGCCCCTCCACACCCACTGGGCCTGGGCGCGAGGAGTGGGCTCACCATGGTGGGGGCAGCAGCGCACGAGCTGGGGTGGCCGCAGGAGTCCAGGCGCACCTGCCGGCCCGGGAGGGAGGCGCCCTTTATACCTTGGGCCACACCTGGGGAAAATCCGGGGCCTCGTCGTGGGGACTTGCCCGCTGCGGCTTCCTCCTCCTGTCCCCAGCTTGTCCCTTCTCTGGCCCGGTCAGCTCTGTCCACTCACAACTTCCTCTCTTGCCCGCCACAGAATTGGAATGTCAGTCACCCCAGCCCGGGGACCCTTCCTCGGCGCCCAGAGAGCTGCAGGGCTGCCTGACCTCTGACCTGAGCCCTCCCTAGGGTGCAAGCCACTGAGGCCAGCTGGATTCCTTAGGGGGCAGCCCTGGCACTGGCTGGGGCGTCCCAGTGGACAGAGGTTCCGTTCTCTGGACGCCATTCCGCCGCCCTCTCAGGTGGGTTTCCAGCAGACGGGGGTTCTGTTTGGTCACTCAAGACGGAGCGAGGGACGTGAGGGAGTCTGGTGGCACCGGGGGGGAGGTGGGTTGCTCTGCCCGTGCTAGTGCTGGGCGCTCCCCGATCCTGAGATTGGGGCTCCCTGGAGGCCCCCAGTCCCATGGCTATGTGCGGTTATTCCCCGCACTCCCAGCGGGGTCCGGCCTCGGCCAGAGCAAGCACTGGCCCGCTGGAGGCTGGGACCCACCGCCTCAGCACCAAGAGCAAAGGGCAGAGGCCACCAGTGGGTGTGGCTCAGCAGGTGCCCGGCAGGCTGGGCCACACCATGGAGGTCCCTGGGACCCGGTGCTGGCCCTCCCTGTCCCCAGCTGTCCCAGGCCCAGCATGGCCCATCCTCAGGGAAACTGCTGGAGTTGGGGTCCCCACAGGGCAGCGTCTCATTCTTGTGGGCAGATGTCCTGGGTTGAGCAAGAGTGGAAAGGTGGGGGCGGGGAGGCCATCGCAGAGGGAGCACTCACCAAGCAAACACGCGGCCGCCCCTTCAGACACACCCGCCCCCCAGGGAGAGTGGCAGGAGCAGGGGCAGCAGGCTGATCCTCCCAGGGCTGCGCAAGGCCCCCAGCCCGGGCCCCTGGGTCTGCGCCTCCCTCAGGGAGGGCCAGAGAGGGGCTGGGCACAGGGTGTCTGAGCGCAGGTGAGCGGCAGCAGAGCTGGGGGAGGCCAGAGGTGTGGTGCCTGCCCACGGGGGGTGCAGATCCCAGCTGGGAGGTGCACGGGGCAGGCCGGGGAGGCGGCGGATCCCCATCGGGGTCCCACAGCTGTGGGTGTCCGGACGCTGCCCTTCCTCCGCCCACACCCCCACGTCACCCTCGAGAGAGGCAGCTGCTTATCAAAATAGTTTATTTAGGAGACCCTCAGGGAAAGACGAGGCGTGGCGCCCACAGCGTCCCCCGCCTTTGATCCCCCCTGCAATTTTTTCCTGTTTAGATCAACTAAAACAATTTGATGCTTAAAGTAAAAGACAAGAAGTGTGTCCCAATCAGACTTGAGTCAAGAATATACATCCGTTTGATCCTGGGTCGGCGAGGAAAGGAGCTGCCAGGAGCTCGGGAAGCGCTTGGGGGCTCAGACAAGGCCACGAGCAGGGCAGGCCCCGGGGTCCGGCAGCGGAGGGGGCTGCAGGCCGCCGGCCACGGCACCATCGTCACCTGGGGCTTCTTTTCCAGCTGAGAAACTTTTTTGTCTTTTTTAATTTTTAAAAAGAATCACAGCCAAATACGACATTAATCGCAAATCCCGATGGCTGCGCTCACCCGCTCCGAGCCGCGCGGGGCTACACCTTCCCGGGGATCTTGGCCCGCTTGCGCGCGATGGCGTCCTCGACGGCCTTGAGCTGTTTCAGCAGCTCCTCGCGCCGCGACAGCGTGCTGGCCTTGCCACCCTTGGGGCCGCCGGCCGCAGTGCCGCCCTCCGAGGCTTTGCCGGGCACGCTGGTGACTTTGCTGGAACTCTTGGATTGAGGCGACAGCTGACGCTTCCTGGGGGCAAAGGCATCATCAGGTGAAGCCCTCAGTCTAGGCCAGGGTGGGGGTGCCCACGGCTGGCAGGGCAGGGCCCAGCCCGCAGAGACCTGGAGGCACGCCGCCCTGCCCCCGCCAGTCGCGCTCACCTGTCAGCCGGGGCCGGGGCGGCCTTGGAGTTCTGGCCCCTCTGCCGCTCTGGCTTCGGGGAGCCGGGTCTCCCGCTGGACTTCCGGTCCCGAGAGCCTGCGTGAGGGGAGCAAGGGTGCCGGTGACCGGGGGACACAGTCACACACGGGGGAGGCCCCTGCAGGGACGCGGCTCACCTCGCTCCGGGGAGACGTTGGCCCGCTTGGCAGGAGGGCTCTGCCTGTCTTTGTCCGAAGTCTCGTAGCGCTTCCTGCTCCCCTTCTCAGTGGCCTGCAACAGGGCGGGCCGTGAAGCCGGGCAGCACCATGGGCCCACCCTGCCCATGGCGCTGGGCACCTTCTAGGGGTCCCCGGGGCCTCAGTCTCGGCAGGAGCACCCTCGGGCTGGGCTCCGGGCCCACCTTATTCAGAAGCGTCAACTTGATCTCCTTGTGTGCCACGAAGGCGCTTTGCTGGGGCTGCCCAGGGGGTGTGTGCTGGGGGGCAGCGGGCTGCTGGGAGGGCCGGCTGCTGGCCCCTGGCCGCGAGGACTTGGACGCCTGTGAGGACGGGTCCCGTTTCCGCTTGTCCTCCTTCGCCCCGTCTTCCTTCTTAGACTTCCCTGCCAACAGACGTGCAGGGTGGGTGCAGGCCCCCCCGTGGCAGGGCCGCTCAGAGCCTGGCAGGGCCCGTCCGTACCTTTGTCCTTCCTGGGCTGGGCTGCGGTGGCGGAGCGCGAGCTGGCCGAGGACACGGGGCTGGCCAGGTCTGCGTACATGTCGTCAGAGTCCACGCTATGCGCTGAGCTGCTGCTGGACGTGCCGCTGGACGCCGAGGACACACTGCTGACACTCAGGGACCTGCAGACAGCGGCTCCAGTTGCTGCCGGGCCGCTGGCTGGCCCTGACCAGCTCACCCCTGGGCCTCAGGCGAGCGTGAGGGCCCCAGAGGATCTGGGAAGGAAGTCAGGCTGGAAGGGGCCCCCGGACGGGACGTGGGAGGGCAGGCAGTGCCCTGAGCCCACTGTGGAGCCCCGGGAGGACATGGCGTCCCGCTGGCGGTCCCGGAGACGCTGGCAGTGCTGAGGGTCCAAGCTGGCACCGGACATGCAGGTGGGACAGCCAGGGACCAGAGCCAGCCCCTGGCAGTGCGGGCGCTGCCGTTCGGAAGCCCCCCAGCACCGCGAGCTGTGGGCAGGGAGGGACGAACAATGACCTGGATCGGGAACTGGAGCCGCTGTAGCTACTGCCGCTGCCGCTGATGGTCCGCCTGCAACACAGCAGCACAGGCTCGCCCCGTCACGTCCGGCCGTGGGTCTGCCCCGGCCACGGCTAGCCAGCCCAGGCTCCGGCCTCGCCCACTTCGGCTCCCACCACTGCCCCCACCCCCCCGGAATGTTCCGGGGTCCACGGCCTCTCCCAACACTATGCTAGTGATGCCTGGCCCAGGGGTGGCCGCCCTGCTCTGGTGCTCACCTCCGCGGGGGGCTCCGGGCCTGCCGCTCCTTTCTCCGGGCTGCCCGAGGGTCCCCGGGCTTGGTGGGCTCTGGGGCAGGAGCGGTGGTTTTGGGGGCCTGCGGCGGTGCTGGAGGCGGGGCTGGTTTCTTCACGGACTTATCTCTGCAGGGGGCGGAAGAGATGCTGACCTCAGAGCAGTGTCCAGCCCCGGGGACGCACACACTCATGCAGACACTCACACACACACATTCTTGTGGCGGTCCCAGGGCCCACACGCGCAGACGTGCTCAAGCACACGGTCCGCCCCAGGATGCCACGTCCTTGCCTGGATGCAGGTTCGGGCCCTCAGAAGAGGCAGAGCTGGGACTACGACTCCCACGGGAACCCCAAAACCCAGCTTCAGAATCCAGCACCCCAGGGCCCACAGGAGCCCTAAAACCCAGCACGCCAGGGCCCACAGAGCCCCATTTCCAGCACCCCAGGCAATTTCTCCCGGAAGGAACCAAACTCGCCAGCAAGGCTGTGGGTCCCACATCCCAGGCCCTGAGAGGGGTCACTGCACCCTGGGCCTGCAGGCTGGCACTTACCCTGCTTTCCCGGGAGGGGGCGCCAGGTCTCCCTTGGTTCTGACAGGTCGGTGTGGGGAAGGCGTTGGGGACGGGGATGGGGACGAGGAGAAGGACCGGGACCTAGAGGTGAAGAGGCAGGAAGGGTGGTGACTTGGGGCCCTCTCGGGCCTCAGTCCCCACCAGGCCAATTTCACTGGTGTCTGAGGGACAACGACTTCCAAAGATCACTTTGCTCAAACCCGCCCGCACTGAGCCTGGGGGCTGAGCACGCACGTGGGAGACTGAAGCCAGGCTGTGTCCACACACCACACACGCCACCCTGACCACAGCACGCGGAGGGGACAGCGGCCGGGAGGGCTCGGCCAGGAGAGGCCCCGGGCCGACACGCACCTGGAGCGGCTGCCCGAGAAGGAGCTGCGGCGGGAGGAGCGGCTGGAGTAGGAGCTGTAGGACGAGGAGCGGGAGCGGGACGAGCCGGAGCCCGAGTAGGATGAGGACCTCGACGAAGACCTGCAGCAGGGCCGGGACAGGGACCGTGTCCGCCTCTGCCCCGCGAGGGCGTCCCCAGCCCGGGCTGGCCTTGCTTGGCCTCACCTGGAGGAGTTGGAGGCGGAGGCCGACGAGGCTGAGGTTTTCCGACGCCTCCGTGCCCGGCTCGGGGAGACCGACACCCCGAGCTTCTTCTTGGGAGACTTGGACCGGCGCCAGGGGTCCTTCCACTCGTCCGCCCGCTTCACCTGTGGCCCCGTGGATGTGGCTTCCTTCTTTGGTGGCTCTGCTTGGCGGCTGCAAGCAGAGCAGGGGCGGGCGGTGGGGCCGGGGCTCGGGGTCTGCTCTGTGCCACACCAGCAAGCTCAGGCCCTGCCCTGGACAAAGGGACCCTTCTGGACACCGCGGGGGAATGAAGTCCGGGGTGGAACGGAGTCTCCTGCCCCGAGTGGACACTGCCTGCTGGCTGCCACGGAGGAGTCCCTGCGGGCCTTCTTCATCTAAGGACCAAAGCAGGGTTCCTGCGTGCTCAGCGACATACACGCGGTGACAGCGGAAGTGCACGCGGCTGCAAGGACTGAGCAGGCCGGGGCCCGGCGCGGGGGCCTCAGGAGGTGTGAGGGGAGGGTCCCCGCCACACCCAGAGCGCACGTGGGCTTCCTGAGGCGTGGGGGGCCGCGCCTACCTGGGGGGCTGTGGGGAGCGGGGCTTGGGCTTCTCCTTCTCCTTCTCCCGCTCCTTGTCGCGGTCGCGGTCGCGGTGCTGCCGGTCCTTCCCGTCCCGCTTGGCGCGCTCCCGCTCCCACTCCTCCTTCCTCCGCTGCCGCTCCTGGTCACGCTCCCGCTCGCGCTCGCGCTCCCGCTGGCGCCGCTCCCGCTCCCGCTCGCGCTCCCGTTCCCGCTCGCGCTCCCGCTGGCGGGTGTCTCGCTCGCGTTCCCGCTCTCGTTCCTTCAGAGAGAAGCGGGAGGGTCGGGTCCGGGCCGCGGGGTCGACAGAACACAGGAGGGAGGCATGGGGGGGTGGGGCGCAGAGGTGGGGGAGGCGGGGCCCACGGCCCCGGTCCTCGCGATGGGACAGGCAGGACGCACACACGGCTGTTCCGGCACGACCGCTCCTGGGCCCTCCCGCGGCTCACCCGGTAGGTGTGGTAGGGCTCTGCCTCCGTGTACTGCACCCTGAAGTTCTCGTACTGGCCGCCACGCCAGAACCGCTCCACCTCGTAGTCGTAATAGGGATCCGCGTATGGCTCGAGCCTGCAAGAGCCGGAAAAGGCGGGTCAGACGAGCGAAGCCCGTGGGAGCACGTGCCCTGGCCAGAGTGGGAGGAGCACACGGGACCCGGAGGGGACCGGGCGTCTCTGATGACCAGACGGGACGCACTGATCCAGCACAGCCAGACCCAAGGGGCGCAGGCAGCACAGGGAGGCACGGCCTGGCCCGCGGAGCTGGGAGGGGGGGGGACCCGGGGGTGGGGGGCTTGGGGGCGGGAGGCCGGCCCCTCAGGGAAGCCCGAGAGCCTCACACGGGGTCGCGGGTGTCCCTCGAGAGCCGGCAGGCCCAGTCGCGGACAGCCTCGTTCTCCTTGTCGAAGCCTCGGTCGTCCTCCCCGATGGTCACCGTGAGCCTCTTCTCCTCAAAATCCGGCTCCTGCTCCTTCCGGATTGTGGCTTTTTTCAAGACCTGCCAAGGGCAGGAGGGGACGCAGCGCTGAGGCCGGCGGGGACCCGCAGAGCGGGCAGCCAATGCGGGGCTCGGTCTGCAGCTCCAGACTGGGCGGGCAGCCCCCTGCGGGACCCCCGCGCCCTACTCAGCCCTGAGCCGTGTCCACGCCATTTCTCCCCGGAGGCTCCCGGCGGTCCCCGCCGTTACCTCCTTTGCATGCCGGAGTCCTCGCTCCCAGGCACTCTCTGTCGGAGGTTCTGGAGGGGGCGGAGGCAAAATCTCATCAACCACTGGCCCACCCTATTGGAAGAGAAGGGAGAGTTGAGAGAGCGGCGAGCGCGCGGGTCCCACGGAAGCGGCGCAGGACAGGCTCGCGGGTGAGACCCAGAGCGCGGCGGGAGACCGAGGCAGGCCCGCCCGTGCCCAGGGCTCCGCGGCCACGCACCCAGGGGTTGGTGGGCATCAGCGGGTGAGGTCCCAGAGGCGGGGCGCCGTTCGGTGGGAAGGGCTCGGCCTTGCTGATGAGGGAATAGTTGCCTTTGTCGTTGACGCCGGGGTGGATGAACCGGCAGTTCATGCCCCAGGTGCAGTTCCCTAGGGGGTAAAGGTCAGAGGTCAGGGCAGGCAGGAGGTCAGTTGGCAGCAGCACCAGAACTGCCCCCTTCCTGAGGCTCTGAGAGGCGCAAGGGGGACGGGCGGTCATGGCTGCCCCCTGGGGGACCCTGGCCTCCTTCCCCCACCCACCTGAGGCAGCTTCCGGGCAGGAGTCTGCGAGGAGGCAGCACCCACCACAGGACGGCCCCCGACTCAGACACAGCCCCTGATGTCCCAGCCCCCAGACCAACGAGAAAGTCAAGGAGACTGTCCCTGGGCTGCTGTGTCCATGAGGGATGCCACCAAGTGCGGCGCTGAGTATCTGGGTATGAGACAAACCAGCAGATACAGCCTACGTGGTAGCCCCTGCTCTGTGGGGGTTGGGCAGCCGGCACCGAGCACTGCTTGAAGAGCCATGAGATGCTCGTGCACCAGAAGCCAGTGCTGCGGCACCCCAGAGGGAGCCGAGAACCCAACACCCAGGGCAGAGTGCAGGGAGACGGGGCAACTGTCACTGTGGGGAAGGGGGGACGACACACAGACCCCACGTGCCCCAAGACTCAGCTGGAGTGACAAGAATGCCCCCAGTCCGGAGCAATAATCCAGCGGGAACGGCGATTGCCTTGCACACAGCCAACCCAGGTCCAATCCCAGGATCCCATACGGTCCCTCGAGCACCGCCAGGAGTAAGTCCTGAGCATTGCTGGGTGTGACGCAGAAAGAAAGAAAAGAAAAAAGAAAAGAAAAGAATGCCCTCAATAAGGGAACAAGGACTCGGGCATGTAGGTCCCACCCGGTGGGGCTGAGAGCAGACTCTCAGATCAGCTGTGTGCAGGGCAGTGGCGGGCACGCAGGTAAGCCCCTGCTGAGGAACGTGTGTGTGGCAGCGCCCGGAGGTGGGGACAGAGAGCCTCACACTCACACGAGCGGCTGTGAGGTGGCGCACGACGTTCAGAGACCCTCCCCAGAAGCAGGCAGCACTGGCCCCTGGCCGGCCCCCGGGACAAGGCCCCCAGCACCACGGCACACGCGGGCACCACCGTTTCAACGGGGTCAGAAGCGCGTTCCTCTTGCAGGCTCCAGGCCTCTGCCGAGGCTCTCACTCACGGACACAGCGTGTCACACAGAGCCCTGAGCACTGCCTGGTCCCTGGCCACCTGCTGTCCCAGTCTCTCTCGATGCTCTGGGGGTGACAGAGCAGAATGGCTGCTGGCCCTCTTGGAGAGCATCCTGCCGCCTCGCCCACATGGTACCCGCAGGTCCCGTACCCACCGGCCTGGCAGTGGCCACGTGGAGCTAAGTCCTGTGCTGCTGAGTGCCAGCTGGCTGCTCTGGGCACTACCAGAGGGTCTGTGGCCAGCCCTGGACACTCTGCAGGCCCAGCTGAGCCCGGGTCAGTAGACAGATACGGCCCAAGGGACCCTGACAGGGCTTCCAAACTGCCGTGAAGGAGATGACAGCGGCAAGGCCTGGTCACCGCCAGTCAGTGAAGACAGGGAGCGCCAGAGGGGAGGAAGCTGTGTCCAGGCCAGCACCACAGGCCGGGACTCAGAACAGCCCAGACCCAGTAACCCCACTTCTGGGCTCACCCCACAGTTGCAGCAGGGGGTGGGGAAGACGCCGGCACCCACTCTCTACAGGTGGAAGCCGGTTTCCACAGCACGGCCGCCTTCAGGGGCGTGCACACACACTGGGGGGAGACAGACCCTGAGCTTGGGAGGTGGCTGGCTGCAGGCTGGCCCCGTGTGCGTGCTGAGACACACCTCTTCGTGTTTGGGCCGCATCCACAGGGCAGGGGCTGCAGCGGGACCCCACGGCATGACACCGGGCCAGGCCTTTGGACCAGCTGGCCCTGAGCCAGGTGTGACACATCACATTTATGCCGACTGTGTACACAGCTGCGTGCATGTGTGTGTGCACGTGTGCGTGTGTAAGGAGCGGAGGAGAGAGAGGCGAGGAGCGGAGAGAGGAACAGCGGGAGGCTAGAGGAAAGAACAGGCTGTTTGGCCAAGCTGGGGTCTGGATGCTCAGTCGAAGAGAGGCAGGAGAGACTGAGGGGCAGAGGAACAAAGTAACTGGGGGTGGCTTCCCCCCCTGCTACTGTGTCCATTTGTATCCTGATCCTTTGATGTTAAAGTCAACGGTTAACTTGTATCTGCAGGAAATAGCTGAAAAACTTTCCCTGGGGGTGTGAGGTGTGGGGTGGCTGCATCCAGCGATACTCAGGGGTTTCTCCTGGCTCTAAACTCAGGGCCCACTCCTGGTGGTTGTTTGGGGGACCACAGGAGATGTCGGGGATTAACGCTGGGTCAGCCCGGGGCAAGGAAGGTGTCCCGCCTGTTGCTCTAGTCTCCAGCCCCAGACTTCTCTTTTCTGGTCCAAAACCGAGCCATCACTAGGGTCGCTCCGGAGCACTGTCAGGTATAGCCCACGTGACCGATCCCAAAATAATACTGTTCAGGCCTGAGGCTCTGCCAAGCACTTGCGCTTCCCACAGGGAAGAGTGGCCAGTCAGCTGGCTCGATGCCACAGGACAGAGCGCGGCCCACCAGTGACGACACGAAGTACCACCCTGTGGCCACAGGCCACCCAGACCGCGGGGAGTCGAAGACCCCGAGAGCAGCACCCCAGGGTGCCTCAGCAAGACGCACCAAGTGTTCCACCTAAGCCAGTGGGTCCTGCAGCTGGGCCCAAGCTGCCCAGACAAGAAGCCCCCGGCTTCCAGGGCTTCCACCCTGGCACCCCCCGCCCCGGGCCTGTCCCAGCTCTCCTGAGACCTTCCCCGTCCTCCGGGGGCTGCCCAGCTGGGGCTGTTGTTTCTGCTGGGGGACCCGGCCGCGGGCAGGCTGTGTGCTGGGGGTCTGCGTGACCGCACACGCTCCCCATCCGGGCTCCGGGCTGGGCAGCAGCCACAGCAGCCGGACCCTCGCCAGCACACCCCAGCCCCCAAGCACCCCTTCCTCGGCCAGCCCGCCCTGCCCTCCAAGCCCCCTTTCCTGCGGCCTGGAGCCAGGTGCCAGGTCCCGGGGAGGGCCTGGAGGCACTAGAGCGGCGGGCGCGTGCTGGTACCTGTCACCTGGCCTCTGAGTGGGATGGAATTTGGTATTGGTGGGAGGAGAGTGGACAACGGTGGCCCAACATCTGGAAGAGAAGTACAGGGAGCGCTCGTGAACCTGCTGGCCCGGAGAGCCGCTTCCTGCCACCTCCGGGGCCCAGGCTCACCCACGCAGCTGTCCCCTGTGGGCCGGGGCACACAGCCTCACACTGTCCCCTGTCCCCTCTGCCCAGCGACTCAGCCACCGGGGACGAATCTCCAAGGCAGAGTGTGGCCCTGGCACTGCCCAGGCAGCCCCGTTCCCGGGGGCTCGCGGCCCCCCGAGCTCGTCATCGAAGAGAGAGAAGCCAGAGTCCGTGCTCCTGCCGGCACCACAGCCTGACCGAGGCTGGCCGGAGGAGGGACGCTTGTGCCTGGAGCCGGTCCCCTGCAGTTACCTTTCATGAAGAAGCGGCAGGTGGGGCGAGGCCTCACCTTCCTGTCGCTGGGGTCCTTCACCTCCCCCTCCTCCAGGTCGTCATCCTGAAACAGAGGACGGGCTGAGAGGGGGCGAGGGGGCCGTGCCCGGCTCAGCAGGACGGCCGGAGGACCCCGAGACAAGAATCTTGACGCTCTCCTGCCATCTCCTCTCCCCCCGCCCCGTCTCCTCCCCCGACCCGATCTCCTCTCCTTCCTGGTCTTCAGTGTTCCTGGAGCCGAGGGTGCGCTGGGTGACCCCCACCCCCCGCACTATTTGCCTGGCCCCCTCTGCCACCTCAGGATGCCACACTGACTCAGCATTTAAAGCCGAGGGGGGGTCAGGGACGGAGAACACTCAAGTCACTGTCCAGTCATGCTCAGCGCTGGCCTCCTGCCTGGGCCACAGACAAGGAGCCGGGAGGGGTCCCCGGGAGGGACTCCTCGGGCAGGAGGGCCTGAATGACTAGAGCCTCCAGGGGTGGTCAGACCCCCAGCCTTCCCTGGGCACCGCTGAGAGCCCCCAGAGGGAGCGGGGACACGAAAGGCAAGACACTGGTGCCATTTCAGTGAGGACCGAGTCCCGCCCCCAGGGTGCGTCTGTGACTGGGCGCACGCCAGAGTCACGCGTTTGGAGAGAGGGAGCAAGGGCTCGAGCACTTCCAGAACGAGGAGCGTGGAAGCGCCCGCGCGGAGGCAACTCTCCGAGTCTCCGGGGGCCAGCGCTGCAGGACACAGGCGACCTGGGTGGCAGCTCCCAGGCACGGGCTGGTCGGGACCCCCGAGCCCTGAGCACTCCCCTCGCTGTTGCCCTTACACCGTGCCCCCCACACGGCCAGACCCGGGTCAGTGTCCTGGAAAGCTCTTCAAAGGGCAGAGCAGCCCCCTACGGGCCCTGAAGTGGCAGGAGGGCCCGAGGGCTCTGGGGCAGCTGGGCAGCACGCGGGGGCCTGGCGCCCACAGCGGGCAGCACACCCAACTCGGTCCGTGCATCCGCCCCGCCCACCGGGACGCACAGCAGTGCCTGGGAAGGCAGCCCCTGGGGCCGCGACCAGAGCACACAGAGGGGAGCACGGCGGCGCCTCAGCCGCTGCCCACCGCAGAAGGCCCTGCCGACGGGCGCCGGGGCTCAGGGACCGACACCTGAACGCTCGCAGTCCCACGTGGGTCTGGAGGAAGCAGGCGAGGGCCGCTCCCCTAGGGGCCTCCACGCTCCGACAATGGGCCCGACGCGGTGGCCCCCAACTCCTTTCCCTTGCTGGATGGCGCGGGGTGTCTGGCTGGGAGCCAGCTGTGCCCAAGCCCTTGGGGCGGCCGCCCCCACACTCACGTCAATCTCGCCATCGTCGATCTCGCCATCGTCGTCCTCCTTCTTCTTCTCCTTCCCCGCCTCTGCAGGCTCCTGCTCAGCGGTGTCCGGGGCTGCGGCCGGGCCCTGCTCCCCGGGAGCACTGTCCCCCTTGTCCTCGGCCTCCTCCTCCTGCACCACGGGCGCCGGCTCCTCGGGGACCTCCTCGTCATAGTCCAGCTCGTGCTCGTCTAGCTCCCGTGTGACCGAGGAGGCCTCGTCCCTCAGGTCGCTGGCGCGGTCCTCCTCCCCGGGGTCCCCCTCCTGCGCGCGCGGGGGGCTCCCGGGGCCCCCGCTCTGCTCCTGCTCCTCCTCCTCGGAGCGGCTCTCCTCCTCCTCCTCCAGCTCCGAAGCCCGCCCTCCGGCTCCATCCGCGTCCTGCTCCGACCCGCTCTCCCGCAGAATGTCATCATCCGACAGAGCCGGCTGCTCCTCCTCGTCCTCTGGTGAGCGCGGGTCCCGGTCGGGGCTCTCGGCCACGTCCATCGGTGCCCACCGTTCTGAAAGAGAGAAGATGCCCAGCGCTCAGCCCCCGACCGCGACACCTGCCCCCTCAAGGGCTGCGAGCAGAAGCCCCTCCGGCCTCCAGGGGCCCCTGAGCGTGCTTCAGAGTTTGGGGGGCAGTTCCGAGGAACCCTGAGCCCCACAGCCCGGCCACAGTGGGGCCGAGACCTTCTCCCACGCGCTGGCCGCCGGGCGCTACCATGAAGCGGCTGGGCCTCCCTGCATCCACGTCGCTGCCCTGAGCTCCCCGTCGTCTTCAGCGGGCCGCTGGGCGCAGACCCAGGACCCCCGGAGGCCAGGCTGTGCCGCCCACTGGCCGGTCCCGGACCCACGGGACTAGCGAGAGCGGCAGACGCGCAGTCCCGCGGGTCTGGTGCTCAGGGCCGAGGCTGGAGACGGAATCTTTCAACTCACTCTCGGACAAGAAAGGCCGACGGCGAAGACGCCAGTCGGCGCCAGGCGGAGCCCGAACAGCCTCGGACCCGCGTCGCTGCCGGCGGGCGCCCACAGTGCCCAGCACCCGCGAGCAGGCGCGCTCCGCAAGCAGCGGGCACGGACCGAGCAGGCCGCCCGCACGGCAGGCCCCGGGCGAGGACGGCGACCACACGCGGCCCGGCAGGCGGGGGCCCCGGGGCGGAGCGGGGGCCGAGCTCAGGGTGCCCGTCCGCCCCGAGCCCGCGGGCTCCTCCGGACAGGCGGGCGCCACAGGTCGCTCGGGCCCGCGCCCCCGACCCGCCTCCCGGCGCACGCGGCTGCAGGTGCGGGAGCCGGGCGGGGCCCGGGAGGCTCCGCGGAGGGGCGCGGCCCGCGCCTGCTGCCCGGCGGGACGCGCGGCTCCGGGGCGCCCCGGCCCCGCCTCCGCGCCGGGACCCCGAGGAGCCCAGACCCCGGAAGCGGGGCGGCCGTGCGGCCCCTCCCCGGCGAGGCCCCCGCGGCGCGCCGGCCGGCCCACCGCGCCCCGCCAACCGCTGCCGGGCGCCCCCCCGCCGTCGGGCGCTCGGGCCCGGGGCGCGGGGCGCGGGGCGCGGGGCGCGGGCCCGGCCGGCGCCGGAAGGGGAGCGCCGGCCTCGCCGCGGGAAGCGCCGCCCGCCGCCCGCCACGCTCGCGCTCCCGCCCGGCCGCGCCGCCTACCTCAGCGCGAGGGCGGGGACGAGGCCGCGGCTCCGGGGCTCGGGGGACGCCGAGAAGACGCGCCGCGGCCCTTCCGCTCCTCGCAGGCTCCGGCCAGGGGCGCGACGCGGGCGGAACAAACGGGCTCCACTACCCGCGGGGGCCGGCCATTGTGCGACGTCATCAGGCCGCGACCGCCGGCCCGCGCCGGCGGGCTTCCCTCGCTCGCCCCGCCCCCCGCCGCCTCCTTCCGGCCTCCGCGCGGCGCCGCCTCTGCGCAGGCGCCGCCGGGCCCCGCCCCGGGGCGGAGCCCCGAGCCCGCGCTGCGGCCCGCCGCGCCGGGCGCCTGCGCGCCGCGGTCACGTGGCCGGCGCCGCGCCGGGCGGGAGCGGCCGGGGCGCTCGCTGGCCCCGCGCGAGGGACCGCGCCCCGCGCGCGCCCGTGGCGGCAGGTGGACGAGGCCTCGCGGCGCGCGCCCGCCGGGCCCCCTCCCGGCGCGGCGGAGTCGGCCCCCGAAGCCCCGTGCGGAACCCGGGTTTGGGCCCCGAGGCCAGGACGGCGCGGAGCCGCGGCACCCACCGAGGAGGCGGTGACGCCCAGTGAGCGGGCCCGTGGGCCGGCCACAGGGCGTGTCCCCAGGCAGGAGGAGGACGGGCACCCGGCCCTGCCACCCGCAGGCACCAGCCTCGGGCCCACCCCCCGCAGAGCTGTTACTTGGGGGTCCCCCTCTTGCCAGGCGTTGGGCCCAGAGCTGTCAGGCCGCCCCACCCCCGCTCCCTCCGGGCGCTGGGTCCAGGGGCAGCGGCTCTGCGGCCGGGTCGCTCCCGGCACCCCGGCACCCCATCTCGCGCTCAGGAGTGGTCCCTGACCGCCACCAGCTGTGGCCTCCTGAGTCCAGCAGCCCGCGCGGGGTCTGCCAGCACCGCGGGGCTGTGCTCTCCGCTGTCACCCGAGCACGGGCGGACGATGCCGCCGGGGGCGCGGGTCACTCACCATCACTGGCCCTCGAGGCCGGCACCCTCCCGGCCGGCTTCAGTGGGAGCGCAGGGCGGCGGGCGGGCTGGGCGGGTGCCGTCCCTGCGGCCACCACCAGGGGGGCGCGGCAGCCCCGCGCTCCGGAGGCCGAGGGCAGTACCTGCTCCTCCGCCCGCAGCTGCGCCTGCCAGGCCCGCGCAGGTCCGGGGCCCACCGGACCGCCGGGCGGGCCAGGGGCACAGTGGGCTCGGACGCGTCCCTCGGGCTCGCGGGCCCATGCACGTGCAAGCCCCTACCACTCCCGCTGCCCGACTTCCTCTGACCTCCCGCCCGCCCCCCCTTCATGGGCACCGGCAGGGGAAACTAAGGCTGAGCGCCCCCCCACAGCCCAGCCCCACGAAGGGCCGGCCGTCTGCAAGGGGCCCCTGCTTTACTGGGGGGTCAGCAGTGCTGAGCGCACTGGGGCTCCTGCTCGTAGAGTTGCAGGGCACCCTCTAACGTCGGGGTCCCCCTGCTCCCCGAAGTGAAGCCTCCACCTCCGGAAGCAGATGACGTGGCTATGGGCAGGACCCCGGGCGCTGGACAGACCCAGTAAGCGATCGGGCAGAGTGGGACCAGGCAGGCCCCTGTGGTTCCTGGAGAAGGGCCCAGCGTGGGGTCCCGCGGGAAGCCCCATGCGCCCCGTCCTATGCTGGGGGCTGCAGGCTGGCGGGGCATCGCGGGGGCACAGCTGGCAGAGTTCCCCCTCGCGTCGTGGGGGCTCTGAGCTACCGGTGGACCTGGCAGCCACACTGCTCTCCCCCCACGCCCCTGCTCCCGCGGTTGTCTGAGCTGGTGTAGAGGGGAGGGCTGTGGAGGGGCAATTTCCCTGGGGCCCCTCTGCTCCTGCCCCTCTGTCGAGGTGGTCCTAAGCCCTGCCAGGCCAAGCTCTCTTCCTGTCCTGTGCCGGGCAGCTGAGCCCAGCGTCGGAGGGGGACAGGCACAGCCCCCCCCACACCCACCAAGTGTCTGTCCTGAACCTGGGGCCTCCTTCCCCCGAGGGCAGTAGCCTGTGTGTCCTGGGTCAGAGCCGGGGAGGGGTGGGGAGCCCAGCCACAAAGGCGACTTGGGGAGGGCGCAGGGCAGAAGGAGGTAGTGACGGGGCCAGGGACAGGCAGGAGGTGGGCAGACCGCTTCTGCAGCGCTGGGGCTGGGGCCCAGGAGCAGGACCGGGGCTGCTCAGGACCCTTGCAGCGTCCTTGCTGGGGACAGGCTGCCCCAGTGCTGTCTGGCAGGAGAGGCTGTGGGCCCGCAGCTGGAGCGAGGTCCCAGGGGTCCAGGGTGGGGGCGGGCATGAGGCTCGATGGCCCTTCCCACAGTGCCCCTGGCTCTGTGCTCAGGAGCACTGTTGGGGACATTGGCAGTGCTGCACACGGAGCGGGGTGAGCTTGCTCCATGCCACTGACTGCTCCCTTTTTTGGGGGGGAGGGGTTAGGTCATGCCTGGCCGTGGTCAGGGCTTACTCCGGTGCTCAGGGTCACCTTTGGCAGAGTTTGGGGGCCCTAAGTGGTCCTGGGGATTGAAGCCAGGTTGGCCACGCGGGGCCCTGACCCCGGGACTTTTCAGCACTTTATTCGAGAGCATGGGAGCTTGGTGCCCGGCCACTTCGACAGGACCCTCAGGCAGTGACGGAGTGCGGGACAGGTCAGGCGGGCCCTCCTGCTCATCCACCCTGCGAAGACCGGCGGGCAGGAAGCCGCGAGGGGCAGCGTCCAGCACCACCCAGGGGCGGGGGCCTGGCTGTACGGCTCTGCCCCAAGGGCGTCCCCCAGGGGCCGGGCGGGAAGGGGTCTCGCTCGAGGAGGCAGAGGCAAGGTCCGGAGCCGCCCTGCAGGCGCGAGACGCGCGGACACGCCGCGCGTGTGCCCCCCCCCCCGGCCCCGGCCCCAGCGCCGCTGGACGCCGGGGGCCCGAGAAGCAGCCGCGCGGCCGCCGTCCGCAAACGGAACTCCTTTATTAAGTGCCAAGGCTGGGCGCGGGGCCGCGCGGCGGTCACTTCACGTGCTCGGCCGCGTGGGACGAGCAGTAGTACTTCTTGTGCGCGATGAAGGTGGACAGGCTGCTGAACCGGATGTTGCACAGGCGGCAGAACCGGTGGCCGCCGTTGGGCACGGGGGTCTGCACGCCCTTGTCCGAGTGCGCGGGGGACGCGGGCGGGCCGGGCCGGGGGCTGCTGTCCGGGGCCGCGGGCTCGCGGCGCTCGGCGGCCCCCGCCTGCGGGCTGTCCCGGGGCGCGGCGGCGGCGGGCGACGGGGCCCGGGCGTCGGCCACGCGCAGCCCGTGCGCCGCGCGCAAGTGCTCCACCAGGTCCCCGCGCACCAGCCCGTTCGGGGGGCAGTAGGGGCAGGCGACGGGCGCGTCCTCGGCGCCGGCGCGCAGGCGCGCGGGCGCGGCGCGGCAGGCGAACTTCTTGTGCGCCAGGTAGGCGTCGAGGCTGTGGAAGCTCACGCGGCAGGCCGTGCACTCGTGGTAGTCGGCCAGCGCGGGCAGCGGCTCGGGCGCCGGGCGCCGCGGCCGCTTGCTCAGGTCGATGGGGCCGTCGGCGGCGGGCGGCGGGGGCGAGGCGGGCGGCTCGGGGGCGGGGCCTGCCGCCGGCGGGTCGCCGGGCCGGCGGCGGCGGCGCGTGCGCAGCGGCGGCGCGGCGGGCGCGGGCGCGCCGGGGGCGCCGGGGGGCGCGGGCCGGCGCGGCGGCGGGTCGTGGCGCGAGGCGCAGTAGTAGCGCTTGTGCACCGTGTAGGTCTCGTGGCGGCTGAAGCGGATGTTGCAGGCCTCGCACAGCGTCCGGCGGGGGTCGGCGTCCGCCTCGTCCGCCCCGCTGCCCGGGCTCGGGCTGCCCTCGCTGCCCCGCGCCGCCGCGTCGGGCTCGGGCGTGGCCGCGCGGCCCGGGTCGTCGTCGCGCGCGCCGGGCCCGGGCGGCGAGGCGGGCGGCGGCGCGGGGGGCGCGGGGGGCGCGCGCGCGCGGCGGGCCGGGGCCGCGTCGTCGGGCGCGCGGCGGCCCGAGCAGTACAGGCGCTTGTGCACGTAGAAGTTGTTGACGTTGTTGAAGGTGATGTCGCACTCGAAGCACGTGGCGCCCTTGGGGGCCCCCGCGAAGAGGCCCGGCGCGCCCGCGGCGCCCTGCAGGCGGCTGTGCACCAGCTCGGACATCTTGGCCAGGATCTCCGAGGCGGGGGGCGCCGCGCCCGCGTCCACCACGAACTGCGGCAGGAAGAGCGTCCCGGCCGCCAGGCCCAGCTCGCCGGGCCCGGGGCTCGAGCCGGGCGTGGGGCTGGGCAGCTCGGCCTTCACCCGGGCGGCGCCCGGGCTGCGCGGGGACGGGGTCCGCGAAGGCGCCGGGGACCCCGGCTCGGCCGTCGGCTCCTCGGCTTCCACCTTGATGGCCCGGGGAGCCACGGGGGGCTCGCTGCCGCCCCCGTTCTGGGGGGCCTCGCCGTTGGTGGCCTCCGCCCGCGCCTGCCCGTCCGGTCCCGGGGGCGGGGTGGGCGCCAGGCCCCGGTCGGCCGCGGCCCGGGCGCCGTGCTGCAGGGCGGCGTGCTGCGCGAAGGTGGCCGGTGCGTCTGCAGGAGAGTGGGGGCGCTCAGGCCGCGGCGGCGGGGCCGGGGGCCGGGGGCCCGGGGCGCGCCGCCCCGCCCGCACCAAGCCCGCGCCCCCGCCCGCAGGCTCACCGAGGGGCAGCGTGGCCGCGGCGGGCCCCGGCGAGAAGGCGTCGGCCTTGGCGCCCGGCTGGCACACCATGTGGCTGGTGACCAGGTGGCTGTAGAGGATGTCCCTCGTGGTGGAGATGAAGCCGCAGCTGTGGCACACACCTGCGGGCGGCCGCGGCGTTACTGCGCGGGCCGGAGGGCGCGCCCGGCAGCACCGCCCGCCCCTCCCTCCCGGCCCGCCTACCGCTCAGCGTGTCCGTGTGCACCCGCAGGTGCCGCTCGCAGTTGGCCTTGGTGGTGAAGGCAGACAGGCAGATGAGACAGGCGAAGGGCCGCTCCCCTGCAACGCGGGGCGTGTGAGGCGGGGGGCCGCGACCCTGGCGGCGGCCTGCCCCGCCCCGCCCCGCCCCTGCGGCCACGCCTCTGCCCCCACCCGCCGCTCACACCCGGGCCGGACTGGGCGGGCCGGGAGGGCGGGGCCGCGGACGCGGGGTGGGCGGGGCCCGGGGCGGGGCCGAGCTCCCAGGACAGGGCTGGGCGGGGCTGAGGGCGGGGCCGCGAGCCCAAGACGGGGTGGGCGGGGCCGAGCTCCCAGGACAGGATGGGCGGGACCACGGACACGGGTGGGCGGGGCCGAGCTCCCAGGACAGGATGGGCGGGGCCGAGAGCCCAAGACGGGGTGGGCGGGGCCGAGTTCCCAGGACAGGATGGGCGGGGCCGCGAGCCCAAGACGGGGTGGGCGGGGCCGAGAGCCCAAGACGGGGCGGGCGGGGCCGAGCTCCCAGGACAGGATGGGCGGGGCCGCGAGCCCAAGACGGGGTGGGCGGGGCCGAGAGCCCAAGACGGGGCGGGCGGGGCCGAGCTCCCAGGACAGGATGGGCGGGACCGAGAGCCCAAGACGGGGTGGGCGGGGCCGAGTTCCCAGGACAGGATGGGCGGGGCCGCGAGCCCAAGACGGGGCGGGCGGGGCCGAGCTCCCAGGACAGGATGGGCGGGACCGCGGGCGGGGGTGGGCGGGGCCGAGCTCCCAGGACAGGATGGGCGGGACCGCGGGCGGGGGTGGGCGGGGCCGAGCTCCCAGGGCTGGGCGGGGCCGAGGGCGGGGCCACGAGTCCAAGACGGGGCGGGCGGGGCCGAGCTCCCAGGACAGGATGGGCGGGACCGCGGGCAGGGGCGGGCGGGGCCAGCGCGGCCGGGGGCGGGGCCTCACCGCTGTGGCTGCGCATGTGGATCTCCAGGGAGCTGGCGCTCGGGCAGCTCTTGCGGCACTGGGGGAAGGGGCACACGCGCTCGTTGGGGTACGCCTCCTTGGGCTTCTCGTCGGCGGCGGCTGCGGCGGGGGTCCCGGCGCCCTGGCGGCTGGCGCAGTAGTAGAGGAGGTGGGCCTGCAGGTTCCGCTCGCTCCGGTACCAGATGCCGCAGTCCTTGCAGGGGAAGACGTCCTCTGGGGAAGGGGAGCGGCACAGCCTGAGGGCGCCCCCGTCAGCAGAGGGGCAGCGGGGCACCCGGGGGAGGGTCTCAGTCCGCGGACGGCCTCTCCTGCGACGGGGCGCAGGGAGGGAGGAGGGGGTCAGGCGGGTGGCAGTGACCAGGCCCGGGAGCCCAACGGCGAGCACGGAGGCTGCAGGGACGCCTGGGTTCTTGGCTCGGCTTCCAGCAGCTGTCCTGGGACCTCTGCCCCTGCCCACGGAGCTGCCCTGGGCTGAGGACTGGACAGGGGTGCTCATCCTGGGCTGGTCCCTGTAGTCCCACAGGACTTTGAAATGGTGCCCAGCAGGGCCTCCTCAGTGCTGGCCACTGGGCCGCATCTCCACCTGGGCCCCGGCCACCACACGGGAACCTGCAGACTCTGCTCCAGGCCCTGCGGCCTCCCTCCCTGGACACTGACCACCTCTGTGCTGCAGCCTCCTCTCTCAGGGCCTCCTGTTCCCTGCGTGTGCCTGGCCAGTGGGCAGCCAGTGGTCTTGTTTCTGACCTTCAAGATCAGTTCAGAGCTGGGGGTCCCACAGTTCCGAGGCTCTGTGACAACGAGGTCGACCCACTGACCTGTCCCACCACAGTGTCACCAGCACAAAGAAACCCCAAGGGTACAGCCAGGCGCAGTGTGAGCATGTGAGCCGCCCCGGGAATCAAGAATCAGATGTGTGCAGCAGGTCTGGAGTGCGGGGTCTCAGGCCCTTCTGGACTCTGCTGACCCCCATGAGGAGCTGGGGTGACCAGAAGCTAGAGCAACAGAGGGGAAGGGCACTCGCCGTGCACGTGGCTGACCCGAGTCCAATCCACGGTAGCACACATGGTCCCTGAGCCCCACCGGGCAGAGACACTGGGTGTGGCTCAGAAACAAAAACCCCAAATGAGGGACTCTGCCCTCGGCCTCAGCGCTGAGCCATGAAGCCCCTGGGGACCCCACCTGGCCTCCCCCACTTCCTAACTGGCCCCGGTCTCGCCCGCCCTGTGCCCAGGCTGAGTGCTTGGCCTGACATGGGCAGCTTCTGTGAAGGGGGTCACGGCTCCAGGGCTGCCCGTGTGCCAGGCCCTTGTGTTGGCACAGCCGGGAGACGGGGCACAGGGCGGCCGGGCACGCCAGCTCGGGGCCCTGCCCTGCCCCGGGATCCCACTTCCAGCCATGGGACCGCCTCGTTTGTCCCCGGGGGTCACTCACTGTTGACCACTGCCGTGGCGAGGATGGAGGCCATGCCAGCCTGCTGGGGCAGGAGCTGGATGTCGGGGTGTGCGGGCGCCTTCACGGGGGGGCTGGGCTCGGCCACCAGGCACACTTGCAGCAGGCCGCCTGCCGGCACCGGCCTGGTCAGCCTGCACCACAGAGCCCCATCTGCGGGTAAGGAGAGTCGTGAGGGCGCCGCCCACTCCCAGTCACTCAGGACCCTCCCTCCAAGCCAGGGACTGAAAACAGCTTCTGAGGGGCAGCTGTTCCCGTGGCGGCCTGCAGGGGGCAGCCTCGGCCAGCAAGACTGGCCAGCAACTGCCGCCTGCCCTCTCCGGCGCCCTCCCCCAGACTCCCCCTCTAGAAGGGCCAGGCTGCATTCACCCGGGGTCCGGGCAGGGCGTCTCTGGGCTGCGGACCCCAGTTCCCCACCCTCTCCACGCAGAGCTGGGGCTGGGGCCCGCAGGGACCAACCCTTCCTGTGGATTTCCACGTTGGCTTCAGCGGTGCTGGGCGCCCGCGGCAGCATCTGCAGCCAGCTGGCCTGGTCCTCCTGCAGCTGGGTCAGCACCAGGCCCTGCAGAGAGGGGGTCGGTCCGCGGGTGCAGGCCTGGGGCTTCCCGTGACGAGGTGCAGGGGGCCCTGTGCAGCACAGCCCACCCCCAGGAGCGTGTGGCTTTGCCTGACCCTGCTGGGGGGCGGGATGGAGGGTCCCCCACCTCCTGCAGGGCAGCCTTTCAGCTGCAGAGACCTGGACTCGCTGCCCAGTGGCTCCGCCCCTGCTCGCCTTCACCTAGGTTTTGGGGTCTGGCATGGACATGACCCCTCCTCTGTCCCTATCCTCTGGCAGCTGAGGGGACACACAGACTTAGGTGTGCAGGCTGGGGACCCCCATACCAACTCCTGCCAATGTCTCTCCTGCACTGGCCTGGCAGGGTAGAGTCCCAGCTCTCTCCAGACCTGACTCCCAGGGGGAGCCAGTGGGTAGGTGGGGGTCCCTGGGGGAATACAGTGGGTGAACCAGGTCCCTTTGAAGAAGACAGCGGGGGGGGGGGTCCCTTGGGGAGCACAGCAGAGGGGCCTTGGGGAGCACAGCAGGGGGTCCTTGGGGAGCACAGCAGGGGATAGGGTCCCTTGGGGAGCACAGCAGGGGACAGAGTCCCTTGGGGAGCATGGGGGGCCGGGTCCCTTAGGGAGCACAGCGGGGGTCCCTTGGGGAGCATGGGGGGCTGGGTCCCTTGGGGAGCACAGCAGAGGGTCCTTGGGGAGCACAGCAGGGGGTCCTTGGGGAGCACAGCAGGGGACAGAGTCCCTTGGGGAGCACGGGGGGCCGGGTCCCTTAGGGAGCACAGCGGGGGTCCCTTGGGGAACACAGCAGGGGACAGGGTCCCTTGGGGAGCACAGCAGGGGACAGGGTCCCTTGGGGAGCACAGCGGGGGGTCCCTTGGGAAGCACTGGGGGGCTGGGTCCCTTGGGGAGGACAGCAGGGGGTCCCTTGGGGAGCATGGGGGGTTGGTCCCTTGAGGAGCACAGCAGGGGGCAGGGTCCCTTGGGGAGCACAGCGGGGGTCCCTTGTCCCTTGGGGAGCACAGCAGGGGACAGAGTCCCTTGGGGAGCACGGTGGGCCGGGTCCCTTGGGAGCACAGTGGGGCAAGGTCTCTTTGGGAGCACAGCAAGGGACAGGGTCCCTTGGGGAGCACCGGGGGGCTGGGTTCCTTGGGGAGCACAGTGGGGGACAGGGTCCCTTGGGGAGCACAGCAGGGAACAGGGCCCCTTGGGGAGCACAGGGGGGCTGGTTCCCTTGGGGAGCAGGGGGCACAGGGGTCCACAGCCTGAGGGCCGAGGACCATGGTGCTCCCTGCCCTGGTGGCTGGCAGTCGGCAGCTTGGCAGCGGGCAGCCTGGCGAGCACTGATGAATATTAATGAGCAGAGTGGAGGGACGGCTGTGCCAGGCCCCTGGTGGTGCTGCCGTGACGATATGAAATCTAATTATTGCTCCCAATATTTCTAAGCCCGCACGCCGAGACTGACAGCCTCCCGGCTGGTTTAATGCTTATCACTCTGCGGCCCGCGTGTTCTCCGTGCGATAAAACGGGCCGCTCTGCTGACGCGGCAGAACCGTTGGGTCCCCGCCGTCCACCCAGCTCCGTCTGGGGGCCGCTCCTCTCTCCCGGGAGGTGCTGGGCCCTGGCCTGGGCCGGGGCCCTCCCAGCAGGCCTTGCCGGCGTCTCCCCTCTCCCTTCTTCCCCCGGGCAAAGGCGTCTCCCACGGGGGGGGGGGGCATCAGGAGCATCCGACATGCGCCTCCTGGTGAGCTGCCCCCAGCACAGCACGGCTCTGGCCACTGCTAGGCCAGCCCCGGGCTTCTGGGTGGGCCTCACACCTGCTTCCCCAGGGAAGGCTCCTGGGGCCTCCAGAACCCGCTGCAACCCCTACTGCGAGCCTGACTCCGTGAGCCTATTCCGGGGTGGGGACGGGCCCCGGCTAGCCGAGCAGGGTTTGGGCCTGCACCTCTGCCCCTCTCGGTGACTGTCCCTGCGGGGCCCCGGGAACACGGCGTCTCTGAGCTTTGGAGTGAGCACTGGAGCTGGAGGCTGGAGGCAATGAGAGGAGCCTGGAGGAGGGGGGCGGGTGGGACCCAGGGAGTCTGGGGAGCTAAGGGCAGGGCACCTCCCCCGGCCCCTCGTGGTCTCTGGAGCACTGGGGAGTGTAGACAGGGCAGAGAGTGGCCTCAGGCCCTGGGGGCATTCCCAGTCCTGCACTGCAGACAGGGAAACTGAGGCAGAGAGGTGGGGCCTACACGGGGCTGATGCTCAGGGCTGCCCCATCCCCCAGGCAGGCTGACCTGCAGCGTGGGGATGCCGGGGGGCCGCCAAAGGTGCACCTCCGGGCAACGAGGGGCCTGTGCAGGGGATGAGTCCCACCACGAGAACACTCCAGCCCGGGGTCCTCAGTGCAGAGGGGGTGGTGACCAGAGTCCTGCAGACCAACCCTGCGGCCAGCGCCCACATGCGGCTGGGCCCGCAGCTACCCCGGGACCAGCCCACCACGCGGGCCTCGGACTCCGTCTGTCTAAAGCGTCTCCCATCTGCACAGCCTCATCCGTCCACGCGTCAGTCATGGGCGTCCCTCTGCGTGGCCACCCCCGCTGCAGGGCAGGGCCCCCGACTCAGCTCTCCACTAGGCGGGGAGGACAAGCTGGGCTGCTGATAGGAACATCTGGGGCTTGTGGTGTGGGGGGAGCGATAAGGCCCTGAAACGTTAGCAGAAATATTTAGACAATAAACGGAGTATCGGAAAGGCCGTATCTCAGGGGATCAATCATCTGGGCCGTGTGTCTGGACACTGGCGCCAAGGCGAGATAGCGCCTGCCGGGGAGATAAGGGTTAATCAGGATTTCACTCTGCGGGAGATAAGACCTGGGGGGGTTCAGGGCCCTCGGTGCCAGGTTTACCCACCACATCTGCCCTCCTGCCCCCTCGGAGGCTCCGGGAAAGCTCAGAGCAGCCGGGGGCGGCCCAGCCCTCGGAGTAAGGGGCGCACCTGGCACCCAGCACCCTTGGGTCCTATCCAACTAGAGCCCGACTCAGGGCACTGGTTCCTGCACACGGTGGCAGAAGCGTGGCCCCGGCTCCACTCTGCACAAGAGCACTGCGGCAGGGAGCAGGGATCGGGGCCACCGGTGCTTGCCACCTCACCGGGCGCTGGCTTGTGGCTGAGAAAGGGCCTTTGTGTGCCCATGGGGACCACCACCCTGCAGGGGCTCAGAGGTGCCCCCCGACAGATCCCTCCACTCCCCACACTCAGAGCCCACAGGGGTGGGACCAGAAGGAAGCTGAGGTTCGGCTGCAGCTGTGCTCAGGGTGGAAAACCACCTCATTCTCACCGCTTACTCCTGTGTCCCCTAGGCCCACACCACCTCCTCCAGGAAGCCGTCAGGTGTTCCCGCACCCAGGAGCCCGTCTCCCAGCAGCTCCGAGATGGCGAGCGCCAAGCTGCAGCAGCTGAGGCTAGACCTGGTCCCAGCTAGGGGGCCAAATGATGCCCAGCAGCTGGTGAGTGGACAAGTGGGGTCAAGCCACGCGCGCCTTACCGGTTCTGACAGCCCAGGGGATGAGGCTTTGCTCTGAATGCTGCCGCAGAAAGGACCCCAGGCCAGGCCCTCAGCCAGGCTGCTTCGTGCCCGGACACACTTCTGCCCATCCCGCAGGACCAGCTCCAGCTCATCTGCAGGGAGAGGTGAGGCGTGAGGAGGGTCCCAGAGCAGGCAGGGCTGCAGGGCAGGGCAGGGTGGAGGAACCAAGGTGTGGGCAGGGAGGGTGGCAGGGGAGAGGAGGGGAGAGCCGAGGGGCAGACAGGCGGCAGGGAAGGGGAGGGTCCCGGGGGAGCAGAAGGAGGGAGGAGGGCTGCAGGGGAGAGGCGGGAGGGTCTGTGCTTAGGTCAGGACCTGGCGGCCACATGGCCAAAGCTTCTGGGTACATGGGGCGCCACAGGTCGGCATGGCCACTGGGGGGCAGCCATAGGACCACGTGTCACTGACTCGGTGGAGTGAGCAGCCCCCTGGGCCCCATGGGTGCACAGTGCCCTGAGGCGCAGTGGGGGTCGAGAACAGCCCCTCAGACCCAGCTCTGCAGGAAGCGTCTGCAGAGAGACGGAGCCCAGCCAAGCAGCCCGGTCCGCAAGGGCACCATGTCTGGGGCTCCCGCAGGAGCAGGGGGATGGGGGCCCGCTGTGCTGTGGGCGGGTGCTGAGCCTTGATGCCAGGCAGGGTCTAAAGCCCAGCACGCAGGCCAGCTCCTTACGGAGTGGGGCTATTCCCGACCGTCTTGTTTTTCTTGGGGGGCCCACTTGGCAGTGCTCAGGGGACATCATGCCTGGAACCAGGGCCTCACACACAGCAGCTGTGTTCATCCTGGGGCCACACCCGACAGTGCTTGGGTGTTGCTCTTGGCTCTGTGCTCAGGGATCACTCCTGGTGGTGCTCAGGGACCATACGGGATGCCAAGGATGGAATCCAGGTCGGCCACGTGCAAGACAAGATGTTCCACCTGCTATACTATCTCTCCGGCCCCTCACACCTGGCAGCTTTGCTAGAGCCACCTCGGGGCCCCGTTTGCTTTTGAAGGCCTCAAGGAAGCACTGGCCTGCTGGCCAGTCTCACCCGGTCCCTGCCTCCCAGCCTCCTGACGGGAAGAGAGGCGGGGCCTCCCGGGCCACACCCCTTTGCGGCGGGTGGGCGGGGCCTCCCGGGCCACACCCCTGTTGCAGTGGGCGGGGCTCCCAGGCCACACCCATGCCGATGTGGGCGGGGCTCCCAGGCCACACCCCTGCCGAGGTGGGCGGGGCCTCCCGGGCCACACCTTTTGCCAGGCCTAGGATGGGGGGCGGCCCTCCCAGCAGCCGTGTCACCTGGCACCCCTGGCACCCGGGACCTTGGAGACCTCACGTGGCCTGGCCTGGTCCCGGTGAGCAATGCAAAGCCCCACTTCCTGGAGCCCCGATGGGCAGGCTGTGGCCTTAATGGGCCGATTATCAGATAACTGCCTGGCTAATGGTGGAGATAAGGTGTAAATACGCCCCGGAGGCCGGGCTAGAACGTTCTCACTGGGCCCTTGTCTTCCCGGGTAGATAAGGTGGCAGCGGACCAGGACAGGCTGGGAGGCCGGCGCCCCTTTATCAGCCCGCGGAGAGGGGCAGAGGCGGGCTCCGTGGCGTGGTGACCTGCCTCTACGGTGTCTCTGCCAGCAGCTCGCAGACTGGCCGGGAGGGCGGGCCCACCGCACCCCCACCTGCTGGGCAGGGAATGCAGCTGTCCAAGGTCCCAAGAGGAAAGGGGAGTCGAGAGGCGGCGCCCGGCCTCGGGACCCTGTGCTGGACCCTGCGCTGGACGGGGCCTCAGAGAAGCCTGGTCACAGGCGTCCCTAGATGCCGGGAAGGGCCTGAGCACAGCTGGCTGCTTGGGCCTGCAGGCAGGAGGGACCTGGCACTTGGCTCAGGAGGTCACCCAACCCGCTGCTTTGTGTCACCCGTGGGTCCGGGAAGGCAGTAACACCTCCAGCTGGGGGCGCGGCTGGCGTTTCCAGCAGCAACAACGTCTTGGGGTATCACGCACTGCCAAAGTCTGGCTCCCGAAAACGGCGTGCTCAGGCAGGGAGCCCCCATGTGTGCGGGGTCTGTGTGGCTGTCAGGGTCCCACGTGGGCGCAGAAGCCACATGCAGTCCCCCCAGTTCCCGCCAGCCCCTGACAGGGGTGTCTGCCAAGTACTGACTGAGGCCCTGGGCCAACCAGAAGAGTCCCATGGGGGTGCCTGTGGGCTCCATGCCAGAAGGGGTGCTTAGCGAGGGGCGCGGGCTGGCAGCAGGGGGGCACGCAGGAAGAGACGGTTATTTTAAACAGCCTCTAGAACCGGAGGCCTGTGGAACGGTCAGCTCTCTGCCACACGGCTGGGGCCCACGGCCGCACGCAGAGCTGCCAACCAGCTCCCGCTCAGAATTGGAGGCCTGGGGAGGGCCAGTCAGGAGCTTCCAAGAGGGGGTGCTCCTTCCTGGCGGCCCCAGGCCAGTCCTCCCACACCCACCCACCCAGCAGCGGGGCCACAGCACCCTGGCCAGGTCATCTGTCCAGCTCGGAAAAGGGCCAATGCCACCCAGCCCAGAGCCCCTGGTCCCAGCTGGTGTCTGTGCTCGCCCCACGGCACCGCCAGCCCTGTGGGCGCTCCGCATGTCAGGGAGAAGGCGGCGGGCAGGGGAGACTGCCCCCGGCTGCCCTCAGCCTGGCCGAGACCCAACCGAGACAGGCCGCGCTGTGCTGGCAAACAACCCACACGCGTTACTTCCAGAACAAACATGAACGCCGGGTTCAATTTTGCCCCCAAGAACATGGGAAGGACCAGAGAAATTCAGCCTCTGCACACTTCTAGGGCGGAAAGGGCGCATCTCAGGCCCTCCGTGGGCAGCACCCAGGGGACAGAGTCCAGCTGCCCTGGGCCTCAGTTTCCCGGCTGAACTGCTGGGCCACTGTGATCTGGTCCCTTGTAGCTGCCTTGCAGAGCCTGGATGCCTGGACCCTCCTGGCTGCCCAGGGCGCCTTCACAACCACGATAAAGGGGGCTGCTCTTCCCCCCAGCCCCCAGCAATGTCCTCCAGCCGCTGCCCACAGGGCATGTCTCCAGGCCCACATGAACTTGGGGTCCCTCCTACATCTTGCTAACAGGCCATCTGGAGTGGCCAGTGGCCCCCTGGCTGTGGGCGCCCACCGGCACTGCACCCCACTTATCTGAGCGGCCCCACCCGCGGCTCCTAGGACCAGCTGCTGGGCTTTGTGGCTTTGTCGGGGCCTTATCTCGGGATCGGGCTGTTTGCCTTTGATAGAGCCACAGGGAGAGGAGGAGGGAGGAGGAGCCGGGCCAGTGTGGGCCCCACCCTGCAGGCTTCTAGAAGTCTCCCTGGGCGCCCAAAAGGGTCAGCTGCCTCCCCCTTCCTCTCACGCCTGGCCATCCCGAGGCCGACTGGCCCTCCTTGGCAGGCCTCGGCTCCCCCCGTGGAGCAGGTGGGCAGAGGGGCACCTGCCACCCGGAGGCCATGGGACGCCACCGCGTGGACTGTGTGGTGCTGGAGGTCAGACCCAGGGGCCCTGTGGCCTCCGCCACCTTCTGGCACAGACCAGCCCCCCTTCCCCGCCCAGTCACACACCTCGGGAGCGGCTGTCCCTGCCCCCAGCTGCGGCTCTGGTGCCCGTGTGCCCCAGCTACCAGCTGCCATCCAGGCCGGCCAGCACCCTTCAAGATGCCCAATGCCTCAGGGCATGTCCGTGCGACTTGGGTCTCAGTGCAGGAGGCCCAGAGTGGTGGAACACTGCTCACTGCGGTGTCCCTGGGTCGAAGAAGCCGCATCTGGAAACAAGGGGCCGTGCCTGGTGCAGCCTGGCTGGGACCAGGGGCCAGAACCTTCCCCACCAGAGGGCCTGGGGCAGGGGACTCTAGGGCCAGAGTCAAGGGGCTGTGGCTGATGGGGAGCTGGCAGGGCGGGGGCTCATTCTCCCTGCTCTGCCCGGGGAGGGCGAGGCTCAGGGTGTCTCGCTGCCAGCTGGGCCGCTGGAGGCAAAGCTGTCACCCTGGCTGGGCCAGGACCTTCATACAGGGAGCTGGACCGCACCCTGCACTGGCACAACACCCACGGGACCACCTGACGCAGGGAACCACGCACGAGGAACGCCTGACACGGGGCAAGCACCCACGAAAACCCCTGATGCAGGGCAGACGCCCACAGGAAGTGCCTGACAGGGCACAACACCCACGGGGACACCTGACGCAGGGCACCACACGCACGAGGAACGCCTGACACGGGGCAAGCACCCACGAAAACGCCTGATGCAGGGCAGATGCCCACAGGAAGTGCCTGACAGGGCACAACACCCGCAAGAACACCTAACACAGGGCAAACACCCATGGGGACACCTGACGCAGAGCACAACACCCACAAGGAATGTCTGATGCAGGGCACAGCTACCCAGGGGGTGTGATTGACAGGGCAAAGCAACCATGCAGAGCGACTGATAGGGTATAGCGTCTACGGGGACTGCCCGAAACAGGCACAACGCCCACAGGGAGGTCCTGACACACGCACAACACCCACGGGGAATGCCTGACACAGGGCACAACACCTACAAGGACTGCCTGACACAAGGCACAACACCCACGGGGAACGCCTGACACAGGCTACAACACTCACGGAGTGTCTGACGCAGGGCACAACACCCACAGGGAATGCCTAACAGCCCAACAGCACGGGGAGTAGGGACTCAGACGGCACCGGAGGTGAGGGCCCACCTTGTGGTCATCATTTCATGCTCTGGCGCCCAGGACACAGGCTGGGATGTCACCAAGGGGTGGGATGAGGAGGGTGCAGGGTGCCCCCCGCCACGTGCTCCCCGTCTCTCTCCGGCTGGTGGGCAGGGCCACGGCCTCAGGGGTCGCCTCCTGATTTGCCCCTAAAGACTTTCTGCCTCTGCTCCTGGGGCCGGCGTCCCCGCAGCCTGAGAACTGGGGCAGCTGGTTCTGCGCGGCGCCCACCCTCCCAGGGGGACCCTCAGAGGGGGACCCTCCAGGCCAGCCCCCAGGCGCTGCCCCACCCGCCAGCTGGTGCCTGCGCGCGCGGCCCTATCGCGGGAGCATCGCGGGAGTATTGATTTTTTAACACAGAACAGCCCGTCTTTATCAGCTGAACCCTGGCCCCAGCTAATGGTGGAGCCGCAGGGCGGGGCCCCAACGCCACCCCGATGGGGGTGTGGGGGCACCTGCAGGCCTGGGGGGCACCTTGGTCCCAGAAGACCCAGTGCAGGGACCAAGGCGCCCCCCAAGGGACTGCCTTCCCGAGCGCAGTTCCCTCTGCCTGGAGGGAGCCGGGACGGGACCAGGTGGCGGGGGTGCCCTGAGCAAGCCAGGCTGACCCAGACCCTTCCAGAAAGACACTCGACCCCTTCCCCGCCCCTCCCCTCCCGCTGTGGCCCATCACAGACCAACAACCCGAGGCTCCCGCAGGGGACGGGGTGAGGAGGGAGCCTGACGTGGGTCCCAGCTGGCTCAGCCGTCCCCACCCGGGGGTGGCGTGGGAAGATGGCGGGGCTGGAGGCAGGACGGGTGAGGGGGCTTGGCCCGACGACTCTGCTCGCTCCTACAGCCGAGGCGGTGCCAGGCCCCACCACCCCCAAGCTCCCCCCCAAACTCTGGGCTTCAGCCGTTTCTCCCGCCTTGGGGTTCCAAGAGCCAGCCCTGGGGTGGCGAGTTCAGGGCACGAGGCTTGGCAGAACCACCCACAGACTGACCAGCGTCCGTGGGCTTCTCACGGACCACAGCCCGGGACAGCAGCCAGGCCGCAGGCGCAGGGGCCCAGGAGACCCCTCCCACAGGAGCCCCCAGGGTCCTGCCTCGGGCCGCCCCTCAGGCAGCCCCCGGTGGGCAGGATATGACCAGCCCTCGAGCCACGCAGCCCCTTTGTCCCATCTCCGGGGCGATCTTATCAGCGGTGTCCACTGCCACAACACAGTAATGGAAAAACGCAGTGAGGAAATCAAAAGTCACGAACAAAGATAGAGGAACGAGGAATAAACGGGCCTGGCGCGTAGGTGGGGGCTGCGGGCGGGTGGGAGGGCAGGGGCCCTGCAGGGGCCGGAGGCGGCCACCACCCGGCCTGGGGGTCAGGCAGGAGGGCAGCATGGGCTGAATTGGCCGGAGCAGGCCAGGGAGGACGGCGGGCGGCAGAGGCCCCGCGGGGGTGGGACAGCCCTCAGCGCGTGGCCAGGCCCAGCACCACCACGATCCCGCGTTGGGACAGCCCGTAGCAGCAACACCAGCGCCTGCGTCGGCGGCAGGCAGGGAGGGAAGCAGCGGTGGGACCGGGGACAGCGACGCGAGTGGCCATGTGAGTGATGGGTGGGCGCGGCAGGCTGGCTCGTGGGCGCAGACCAGGCGGGCAGGAAGCGGCGGAGGGCGGGGAGGAAGCGTGGAGCAGGCCGCCGAGATAGCGCCCCGGCCACACGGCCGCGCCCGGAAGGTGCTGAGGTCAGCAGCTGCGGGGCAGGCGGCCAGGCTGGATCTCCTCCTGCCACCGGGACGGCTGGGACCCGGGCCAGGCGCGGTCCTGGCTGCCGCGGACCTTGTGTGGCGCGTGGCCGCACCTGGACTCTGTCACGGCCGCCCACGTGCCTCACTAGGTGGTCACACTCCAGCCCCGGCCTTCAGGGGCATCCTGGGGCCGTCCTCCGCCTGGCGTCTGTGGATGTGGGATGCTGAGGGGTGTGGCGTGGTCAGAGGGTGGGGGTCAGAGGCAGGACGGGCCCCCAGCTCAGCTTCCCCAGCCAGATACCCGGGAGGGGCCTGGCCAGAGCCCGCGGGCAGTGCTGGGCAGGTGTCAGTAGCCCCGAGCCTGGGTCAGCCCCAAGACAAGGCCGCAGCCTCCTCTGAGCTCTGCTTCTAGCTGCCTCGGGTCACGTCCTGGGTCCGGCCCACGCCCGGCCAGCAGCGGGGCACCCTGACTTCTTTCCAGCCCCCCACGGCTAGCTCCATGAGGCCCACCGCAGCCCACGCCTCGGGCCTCTGCGTGCTCAGCCCCGACTGACTGACCGGGTGGCTCCCGTGCTCTGCCTGGAGGGAACATGGGGCCCGGCGGCACGAGGACTGGGCTGGGGGTCTCGGAGGTGTCAGGAACAGGGGCCCGTGTCTGGCCCCCGAGATGACCTCAGACTGCCCTCTCTGGCCCCTCCCGGAGGCGAGCAGGTGGCTGGAGCAGCCAAGGGCAGCCAAGGTCCTGCCCACCCACCACGGCCACCCCAGGGGGTCCCCCCCTTCCCGCCCCAGTCTGTCACGCACGCACACGGCCTCCCAGCCGTGTGGGTCCAGAACCCGGGAGCCTGAGGGGCTGTCATGGCCCTGACCACCTGCCCTCCTGCTGACCTGCCTGGCCCCAGTCACTCACTGCAGACAGAGATGCCTGGACACCAGCCAGCGCACTTGAGTGCTCAGGGCTCGGTGGTCCCTGCCCTGCGAGCAGCGTCCTGCCGGCCCCAAGGCCCCTCTAAGCCAGACTGCTGATCCTGCCTGCCCCTCGGCACTGCCGCCCTGCCCTGCCAGGGGTCTGGGGCAGTCACTCAGGGCCACTGAGAGACACCACGCTGGCAGGACTGCCCATGGCCCACTGCCCACTCGCTGAGGCCCCAGGTCAGCCCCTCCCTGCCCACGGACCTCAGGCCCTCGCCATTCGTCCAGGAGGGCGCCCGGCTCGGGCAGTGCCAGGGGCTGGAGGCAGGATGGGGATGGAGGGGGATGGGCTGGAGACTCAGTGCAGAGCCCACCCACCGGGGGGCAGTGATCGCCGGCCAGCCCAGCAGCCACCGCAGCTGAGCTCAAAGCTCCTGAAAACTGGACAGCACTGGCCGCGCCCCACGCCCCGCCCCACCAGGCCCGTGTCCGCGCCCTGAGTTCCCTCTCCGGGAGGCCACGGCCAGTAGGGGGACAGCAGGCTGACCTGGGGCTGCCCTTCATGCAGGATGGGGCAGGGGGCGTTTGCAGTGCCCGGTGGGGTCCCCACTGTGCCCACCACACCTAAGGGGGACTCTGCAGGAAACTGAGGCACAGCCCCTGAGACCAGCGGGGCTGGGGCGGAGCAGAGGGCCGCTGCCTGTGGGTCAGTGGGCAGCGTGGGCACGGCAGCCGTGCGGTGAGATAAGGGCCCGCGGCGGCCTCCGCTTCCCGGGCTGATAGTGGGCGGCCTGCTGGGGGCTGATATGGCGGCCCGCGGCGGTTGGCCGATGGCCTCGCTGCCCACCGACAGGAGCTGGTATCTGTGGGCGCTGACGGGGCCCTGGTCCCCCCAGCCCCAAACCACAGTGCGGGTGGCCGCAGGGGCCCCTGTGCCGGGGCCGGACCTGTCTGTGAGACGGGGAAAGGAGTGGGCAGTGCAGGGTGCTGGACTCCACACTCGTGGCCCCGCAGCCTGGGCCCAGGTCTCCACGGGGTCACCCAGCCGCACGGGCACGTCGCACAAGCTGGCACTCTCGTTCAGTGCTCGCTCCAGCTGGGGCCACACCCCACTGCCCAGCACCCACCAGGGTCCTGGCTCTGATCACATCCCTGGGGGCACCTGTGGATACCGGCACCCCCCGGGCAGTGCCCTGCCACCCGGGCACTCGGAGGGACAAGTGCCGAGTCCACCGTGAGGGAGGCAGAGGTGACCCCAGGCAGCTGCGGGGCGGACGGTGCCGGCGTGGCGTCCGCGTGAGGTCACCAGGCATGGCACCCGCAGGGCGGTGCTGGCCGTGCACGTGGCCGCCAGGAGCCCTGGGCACCGCGGCGTGGCCGAGGCCACGTGATGGGAGACCGACAAGCGGAGCAGGAGCCGCCCGTGCCCGCGGGTGCCTCCCCCTGCGCAGGGAGCCCTGGAGACAGGGCCGGGCCCACAGGGGTGCCGCGGGCCCCGTCCTGAGCTCCCGGCCCCGTGTGGCCACGACCACAGCCACCACACTGGCCCAGGCCCCAAGTTGCTGAGGAGAAGGGATGAGCAGCAGGGGGGACAATGTCCCACGAAGACCTCGCCGGGGACTGGGTGGCGAGGAGCCAGGAGCACCCGCAGACTCTCCCTGGGTCCCTCCCCACGTGCACTCCAGCTCGGGCCTAGAGGCCCACCTCCTCTGGGATGCCCACCAGGACTGCTTCTTTGGCTCCGCTCAGGTCCCAGAGCCAACCCCTCCCTGGAGTCCCCGTGCCCCGCAGGCCGGCAGTACCTGGGCCGCTCCAGCTGGGGGCGCCCTCTTGCTCCTCACGAGGCTCCAGGGACTCCGGCTCGGCACCTCCAGGGCTCCCCGGGGGCGGGGTCTGGGGCTCGGCACCTGCGCGGAGGGAAACTGGTGAGGGCCAGTTCTCCGGCCGCGGACATCCCACCCGGCTGGTGTGACCGGGGCTCCCCACGCCCCAGCGGCCTTTCACACCCGTGTCCCGCGTCCTCAGCGGTGGTGGGCATTACGTTCCTGCCGCCGTTAATGATTACAGCGCGGGCCGGGCCCCCGGACACGTGCGTCCACTCCCCGCTCCTGCGCGGCAGCTGGGGGCCCCGGCGCCCCGCACCCCACGCGGCCCAAAGGGCATGTTTGTCTTTGGCCGCCGATAACGAGCAGATCGATGTGCCCCCATAAAGGGCCGTGACGTCACTGTCGCAATTATTAATACTCGCGATAAGGGCCGTGATTAACATCAAATAAATCAATCACACGGTATAAAAGTCCTATTATTTTTGGCCATAAATCAGCAGGGCTGGCATGCGGGCGCAGCCACCACGCAGCTGATACGGCCTTATCGCGCCATCGCCCCGCCCGCCGCAGGTGCTGCCTGGCTCCGCGGGAAAGCGGGGGTCAAAGTCCCCGACGGGCTGCTGCCCTCTGGCAGCTCGGCCCCCGGCCCCCACCCGCCACACCACCCCCAGGGGCTGCAGCAGGACAGGGCGGGGGCTCCCCGGCGTCCACCCAGGGAGGTCCTCCTGGAGCCGGCTCCGGGGTCTCCCTGGGGCCTCCTGGTTCCACGCAGCTGGACGTGGGGACGGAGGGCACCCCATTTCCAGGGACGGGGGGCTGTGAGCCTCACTCTCCAGGAATCAGGGGATCTACCCCAGGTGCCCGTCACTCACCCGGGCCCTGAGCGTCCGTCTCCCCTGCGGCGTCTGGCTCGGGGTCCTCCGGGCTCGGGCTCGGTGGCTGCCCCTCGGGCCGGGGGGTGTCTGCAGCCATGGTCTCCTCTCCCACCTCCGTGCCTCCAGGGGACCCTGCGGACCAGCCGTGCTCGTGAGGGGCGAACCTGCTGTGGGCACCCGGGGACCCGGCTCGGGAGTGGGGCCCCTCCCTTGCCAACCCAGCACCCGGCAGCTTCCGGCAGCCTCAGCCCAGCCCAGCCTCGGTGCCCAGACAACGGTCCCTCTGCGCCCAGGCAAGCCACGCTGCAGGCACACAGGTGCCATACCTGCCCCATCAGGGACACAGGTGCCACCCACCCCCGCCCATCCTGCAGGACATTTAGCGGTGCCGAGTCAGTACCCAACAGGCAGTGGGAGGTAGCGGAAGGGGGATGGGCTGAAGTGGACAGAGTGCAGCCCACCATGGGGAGCGTGTGTGTGTGTGTGCATGCGGGTATACGGGTGTGTATGCACACGAGTCAGTACATATCTGTGCAGTGTTGTCTGCACATGTGTATGTGTGGCATGTATGTGTGTATGTATATACATATGTGGACACAGATGTGTAGCTGTGTCTTATGCAAGCATCACACATGTATCTGTGTATATGAAGGTTCTTGTGTGTGAGCACGTATATGTGTGTATGCATGTGTACGTGTGATTATACGTGAGAATGTGTGTATGTGCGTGCATATGCAGTATGTATGAGTGTACACGCGTATGGACGTGTCTCTGTCTACATCTGATGTGCACAATCGCGCAACTGTGCACATGTACGTGAGAGTGTATGTGTGGGTCTGTGTATGAACATGTAGGTATCCATGTGTATGTGGCATATGCATGTTTGGAAGCACGTATGTGGTGAGCACACGTGTGAGCATGCAGGCGTGCATGTTTGAGCAAGTGTTTCGTGAACATGTAGGTGCGTGACTGTATGTGCGTGAGTATATATATGTGTGAGCACGTGGGTGTGTATCTGTGCATGCGTATGAGGGTGTGAGCGTGTATGTACAGACGTGTGTGTGTATGAGCATGCATGTGCTCACGAGTACGTAGATGTGCGTGTGTGCGGCATGTGAGCGTGTGTGTGCGAGCATGTAGGGGTGTGTGCACGCGTGGGGGGGCGCGGGCACAAGGCCGGGTGGCTTCCCAGGCTGCACTCTGGATTCCCCTGTGCCAGCTCAGTGGTAATTACAGGGCGGGCACCCCCAGACCACACACACTCGCCCGCGGGCCAGCTCAGCTCCCCACTAACCTCTGCGCCCACACGCGCGCAGGGCTCGGGCGGGCTGGGCACGCCCCAGACCGGTCAGACTCGTGCCCCGGGGACAGGTGGGGGCCTGACCTGCGGTGACCTGAGAGGTGGCAGCTGGGCCCTGGGCCCTGGGCCAGCGCCGCTGGCACGGGGGTGGCAGGGGCAGCTCAGGGCTGGGGGCTGAGGCCCGCGGGCAGAGACTCTGCTGGGCCCCCCACCCCGCCTGAGGCTTCTGGCGGGGCCACCCAGCGAGGTCAGCACCCACGGGTCCCTGGGTGCTGAACAAAGCAGCAGAGCCCTGCGAGGACTTCGATAAGCGGAAGAAAGGCGACTTCTCATTTATTCTGAGGCTGCTAATTCCGCTCCGGCCCAAGGAGAAGGGCTGCCCACTCCGGGGGGCTCCACCCAGCTCCCGACCTTCCGAGACCCCCAAGGCTCCCGCACCCCAGGTCCAGCCCACAGGTGTGGCAGCCCCGGTCCGGAGGGGAGCCGCTGGCCAGGGTGCCCACAGCCCCAGCGGAGGGGCCGCCCGCCCACCCGCCCGCCTGCGCAGGGACGTCTCAGCTCATTAAGCCGGACGTGCAGATGGAAATGGAACATAATAGCTATTTGATTGGGCGAGATAGTTTGCATATTGGCTCCGAGCTGATAGCAGAATTTCATCAGCTTCATGCGCGCTTCAAACGGAACTACAGGCCGAGGCTCACCCTCAGGGCCGCTGGTCGGGAGACCACCGTCTCCATCCCTCCCAACGGGGGCTGGGGTTCTTCTCAGGGCCCAGAGGGCTGCTGACCAGGGCAGCAGCAGGACCTGACGGGCGCCTGGGCGACCCCGCTCGTGGGTGCAGGGGCACCCGAGCCTCAGGGCAGGCTCCCGGCTGAGGCAGGCGTGGGGGAGGGGAGGGGCTGGAGCTTTCTCTCTAGGACCAGCCGTGGCTGGCAGCACAGGGCAGGGGTCTGGCGTCCCCTCGTGCTGTCCGCGCAGCCGCGGGCATCAGGGCAGGGCGCTGGCCTCTGAGTGGGCAGATAAGGCCCGATAGCAGAGAAAATAGCAACAGATTCTGACTTTCCCATTGGGGCTGGCCACACAGGGACACCGGCCCCAGGGGCGCCCGCTCTGGCCAAGGGTCAGCGCGTGGCTTCCCGGGTGCCCACCTGTCCTGAACCCCAGGCGTCCTCGGAGCTGGGGGCCTGGGGAAAGGACCAAGGGGCGGAATGGCAACTGCCCAGGGTGCAGCAGCTCTATCAGACCTGCCCAAGGGGGGACCCCACGTCCAGCTCCACCTGCTATCCACCGAGGGGGCGCGGGCACAGCTGCGAGCCCCTCACTGACAGGCCCGTCTCACCCCGCAAACTGGGTTGCCGTGGGAGGGCCCTGGGGGGGGGTCCCCGCCACCCCTATTCTCCCAGAACCTCCCCAAGGGCCCATCAGCCCCAAAGTGCCCACTTTCCTCCACACCCACCATCGTGGGGGGGGTCCCCAAACATTCCCCCCCACGGGGTTCCTCTGCGTCTAGTGTTCAGGGGGCACTGTCCCGGAGGACAGGGGGCCAGCAAGCGCGTCCAGGGCTCAGCGGCTGCGTCCCGTGCAGCCTGGGCCCACACGCTGACAAGGCGGCTCACCCGAGGGTGCCTGAGGGCTGCCTACTAGGCCCCCCTCAGCGAAAGTCAAGGCCGGGAACAGTCTGGTCCGGTCCAGTCCCCTGTGCGTGGTGAGAGGGGACAGACGGGTGGAAGGACGGGCAGCGTGGAGAGGGCCCAGGCCAGCCTTGGGCAGCAGGTCCGGGGGTGGGTGAACACCCCAGGCACCACTGGAGGCTGGGCCAGGGTTTTCGGGGTGGGGCAGTCAGGGAGTGCTTCCAAGAGGCAGCAGCCGGGGTGGGTGTGGTGGGAGCTGGCAGGGCCACGTCCATCCCTAAGACAGGACAGTGTCTGGTGGGCAGCAGAGAGGGTGGATGGGGAGGCCGGGGCCCAGAGCATCAGGGCAGTGCCGGTCTGTTCTGGAACACAGAGTGGGAAGCGCAGGAAGAGTGGGGGTCCACCGCCTCCAGGCAGCCCCCAGCCTCTTCTCAGCGGTTGCCCAAGCGACTGGAGAAGCAGCGGGACGAGGAGGGTTTCAGCCACACACACCCGCGCTCACCACTCGCCCGCTCCGCGGCTCAGAGTCGGCGCCACCTCTGGGCCTCCAGCCTCCCACAGATCCCCGGAGATTGCCAGCCGGGCGTCTGGGGCAGGCAGAGGGTCAAGGCCGGGCTGGCCGCAGATGGCGAGGGCCCGGCGTGGGAGCTCCCTCTGGGGCGGGCGGCCAGGCACGGCGGGAGGAGGCGCCCGCTGCGGGCAGCCTTCGCCCGGCCACCTGCAGCCAGGCCCACAGACAGGCCCGGGCGGGTGCGAGCAGGAAGGGGCTGGGGAAAGGGCTGGCGGCAGGACCGAGCCCAGGTGGGCCCTGGGCCCTCAGAGTGGACAGGGGCTTGGAGATGGCGGGAGGTGGGGGAGCTCAGGAGCTGAGGGGTGCGAGGAGCGCTCTGGGGAGGGTAGGCTGGCTCTCCCTGTCCCTGGACGAGGGGTGTGTGTGTGTGTGTGTGTGTGTGGTGTGTGTGTGTACGAGGTGTGTCTGTGTGTGTGCGAGCGCGCGTGCATGAGACACATGAGCCCCCGCCCCCACAAGCTCGAGGTCTGGGGCGCCCGAGAGTGGACAGCCACCTTGGTCACCTTGCAGCCTGGGGCCCAGGCTCCCTCGGCGGCCCCTGACCAGCGGCTGGGCTGTGTCCACCCTTGGGCGGGGGGGGGGGGATTGGTCGAGAAGAACGAGCAGAGCGGGGCCGGCGGCCAGGGAGTCCCCTCGGACAGCCGGGGACGCCGAGGCCCAGGCCGGTCCGCTGGACACACCTCCCCCTCCGGACGCGGCCAGCGCGGGTCAGCACGAGGTCAGGCGGGCGGCAGGCCCGGCCCCGCCCCGCGCGCAGCTCGGCCAATCCCGGGCCCCCAGAGCCGCTCATTTGCATGCCGCGCCCCATTGGCTGGCGGGCCGGGGCGGGGCCGGGGCGGGGCGGGGCGGGGCGGCTCTGGCCGGGCGCGGGCGGGGCGGTGGAGGGTGCCGGGGTGCCGGGCTGGGGGCGCTTTCCGGTCCTCCTCCCCCGAGCCCGCAGGTGGTGCGAGGGAAAGCCGCGTCCGCACAGCGGCACTCCGGGAAGCCCGCTCCCAGGCGGGTTTAGGGCCTGGGGCCGGGGCCACTTCTGGGGCTCCCGCGAAAGAGCGAGGCCATGCAGACGTCAGGGGCCCCCACCCCCGGCTTTGCCTCAGACCTAGGGGCATCACCTGTGCGCGTCAGTGGGGGGGTGCGCTTAGCGCGTGCAATAGCATGCAGGTCACATTAGCATGCATGTGCGCATGAGCGTGTGCATGTGCGTGTGCATGAGTGTGTGTGCGCAGGAGTCTGCATGAGCATCAGTGTGTGCGTTGGTTTGCGCCCTGGGCATTGGGGTGTGTGTGTGTGTGTGTGTGTGTGTGTGTGCGCGCGCACGCACTAGCATGTGCGTGTGTGGCAGTGCATGGGACCAGCGCGTGCCTATGTGCATCGGTGTGTGTGCATTAGCATGTGCCTATGTTTTAGTGTGTTTTTATGTTCTGGTGTGTGCCCTGTGCATCAGCCTGTGCGTGTGCAGCAGTGCATGGGCTCAGCGCGTGCCCACGTGCATTAGGGTGTGTGCACACATGCTCGTCCCTGGCATCCTGGTGTGGTGAGGTGAGGACACCAGGGGCTGGAGCGAGCAGGAGACCGGGAGCCAGCAGCCACCCACCAGCCCTTGGCCGCTGCTCTCTTTGTGTCTGTTGAGCTT